AATAAACAGTTCCAAACGTAAATAAAGCGTAAAATACTTACAGAAGAGGCACTTAGTCCTCACACCGAAACAAAAGCAGCAGCAGCGGAAAAAAGGCGATTCTAGAGGGGCTTCAGCTCCACTCCACAGGCAAAACTCAACTGGGGTCTGAGCCTTGGCCTTCTAACTCCATCTTCAGCTCAGAAACACTACACTTCTGAAAAAGGGGAATAATAGTAAGGCTGAGTACAACCACCGTACTCAACAAGCCACACCAACGATGTAGGCGTGCAAGGGGAATACAAGGATGGTTTGAGACTATTTGCATAAAGGCGATTGTAAAACGTTTTATTGAGCAAAACAGTAAAACTGTTGAGTAATTAAAGTAGCATTAAATCTCCACTGATCAACGCTACACCACGTTGAACAGGCCCAACCAACCCACCTGAACTACAGTGCATTGAGTCGATTTATTAAGGTGGGACTAATCACGGTGAATCTGGTCGACCGCCCATAACCGCGGGCAAGGCTATTCGAATAGTTTTACTCTGATCAGAGGTGTACAACTGTACCCACAAGACACAGCCCCACGACATGTTTCCGTGCGCCGATATGCCACCACGACATACCGGAAAGAGGCCGTGACAGGACCCTTCGCATAACCCCCTCTAACCAAGCACACCACACCTCAGGTTTCACCCCCACTCCTCGCAAGGCAGCGGGCAGTCCCCTCTCGTGCCTAGGTGAATCCGGAAGCCGCATAGGCCGTCGCATGGCCCATCCAAACTCCATCACGCTCACCCTTGCCTGGATGCGTCAGCTAAGAGGAAAGCTACACTACAAGCCCAGCCGTTGCCCACGCTGGCTTGTGGTAAGTACGATAAGTTATTCTAGGGCATCCCGCAAACCGGTCCTTAATTGCCATGGGTGCGACTAGCAAAACCATGCACCCACAGCCCACCATTCAGTCGCATTTTAGTTGGATAATTACGGCCACTGAAACATGGCCGGGTGTCTCGAGCACGCAGCTCGTTCTGATGCTAAAAAGGTCTAATACTGCAATTATCCCATCAACTGAGCTAGTGGTAATTAAACATGGCTAAGCATATAGTTTTAGCTAGGTCACATAAGTAACCTGAGCTAGTCGATTTATTACCCAATGTTGACAAAGAACAGATATCAAGTAAACATAGCACAAGCAAGAGATAGGTAATACCCGGATCCCATATAATTAGCAAGACATGCATGTTTATATGCAAACGGTAAAACGTTTATAAATTAGGATCAAAATGCTCAAGGGTAATATGTGACTTGCCTTGCTTCTTCACTTTGATCTTCCGAACTCTTTTCCTCGCGACCGCGGACTTCCGAAACGACAGATTCTACACACTGGCATGCAAAATGAGGAAAAACTCTAGTAAAAACTAAGGAAACAATACATAAAAAGTAAACATACATGTAGAACTCAATTTTAGATGAAATTTGCAAGTTGAATGGCCCAATTTGGAGTTCGAATGAATTAGATATGAATTTTAGAAGTTGTTGAGCCATTAAATGAATTTCTATAATTATTATCGGTTTATGACGCATTTATTAAATATTTTCACAAAGGAAAAGGGCTGCCGCTAACATCAGCAAGAGAAGCCGGCGCCAACACGCGGGCCTCGCACGTCAGCGGCTCGAAGGGAAGGGCACACGGTGGACCAAGTCCACCGCGGCCTAGGCGGCACCGTGGACCAGGAGCACGGGCGGTCCACAGGCAGCGCCCAAAATCGGCAACGGAGGGAGCTGACTCGCCAGGCGTCGGCGGCACACGGCCGGACGGCCACCGGCGGCGGCGGCGCGACGCGGGGAAAGGGAGAGGAGACGGAGGGGGTCCTCACCGAGGGGCGCCGGTAACGGAACGACGACGGAAGGCGGCCGGCGGAGCTCGGGCGGAGAGGGGGCGGCGGCGCTCCGGCGACGGGCGGCGCCAACAGAGGGGCGGCCAAGGGGCGCCGTGACCTGAGGAAGGTGATGGATGGGTTAGGCGAGCGCAGGGTGGCCGGGAACCACGAGGAAGGGCAGCCGGAGGCAACAAGCACGGCGACGGAGCTCACCTCGCGCAGGGCAGATGGCGTTCCGGCGGGGGATGGCGACGGTGAGGAGGCAGCCAAGGGACTCCTCGTCCTTGCAGAGCCGAAGGAGGCGACGGCGCATCGCGAGGTGGTATGGGACGGCAGCAGGAGGCGGCAAATGCGGCGGCGTCCTCAGGTTGGCGGTGGGGATGGTTTTTCGGTGGTGGTTGAAGGGAGAGGAGCGGCTGCCAGGGTGGAGCTCAGCATGGCGATGCTGACGGCGGCGGCGGCGCAGCGCAGCGGCCACTTGGGCGGTAGTGGTGGCCGGCTGGATGCGACGGGAGGCAGTGGTGGCTCGGATGCACGGTGGAATGGTGTTTTGGTGGTGGTTTTGTGGATTCGGAGTTGAGGTCGGGGTGGAGCTTGATGCGGCGAAGCCGTCGGTGGAAACGGCACAGCACGGCGGCGATGGGAACGGCGGTGGTGGGCGGCTGAATGATGCCAGCGAGCGGCGGAGGTTGGTGGCGCGGTGGGGCGGCTTTCCGGTGGCTATTGGGGAAAATGGAGCAGCTGCCGGGGTGCGGCAAAGAGCGGCGAACGCGATGGCACAAGCGGCGCAGCGCGGGGATGGCGGCAGCGGCCAGCTGGAGGGTTGCCGACGAGCGGCGGCGCTTGGGCTCGCGTGGGGAGCACGGGAGAGGACGCGAGGAGCTCGGGGAGGAAGGGTAAACGGAAGAGGAGAGCACTGGGAGGCTTTTATAGCGCGAGGGGGCAACGGGGAGGCCGGGGAGTGGCGAATTTGGAGCGGCAACGGCCGGCGTTGTGGGCAACATCGTGGGCGAAGTGGAGCTCGATCCCGGCGCGATTTTCGGGGGAAACGTGGGGAGAGTGTAGAGCAGGTGGAGGGGAACCGATTTCACTCGGTTTGGGCGCGAGGGCACGAGTGGGAGGGCCGGAATCGGCGGCGACGTGGGCGGCAACGGGCGGCATGGCGGCTTCGGGCGGTTGTTGGCCGGGATGGGGATGGACCTGACAAGTGGGTCCCGCGGTCCCACTTGTCGGCCTAAGGGAGAGAGGGAGCAGGGGGTTATTTAGACTTCAAGGGCGAGCGGACCGAAGGGGAGAGAGAGAGGCCCGAGAGGGGGAGGGGCGCGTGGGCCGCGGGGAGGGGAAGGATTGGCCGAAAATGGCCCAAGGAGGAAGGGGAGTTTTTAATTTGTTTTCTTTTTATTTAATTGATTCAATGAACTTTGTGCTATTAAAATTACTTTTTGAGCTCCGAAAATTCACGGAAAATTCCGGAGAGTATATTAGGGCACAAAAAATATTACAAAATATTCTCAGCCAATGATTTTTAAAGGAAATTTTAATTTCCTCCATAATTTCACTTGATTAAATTGATTTATCTTTTATTTAATTTCTAGACAATGCATTATTAAATAATTTTTAATCCCGACCAAAAATCGGGGCGTTACAGCCGACAAGCCCCCCATCTCCAACTCCCTCGTGGCCGTCCTTGATAACCCCATAGTCAGTCGCGTCTTTGCCGAGGCCGGATTCCGCAGCGGGGACATCAAGGTCACCATCCTCCGCTCGGCTCCACCCATGCCGCTCTTTGGCCGCCTCCCCACGCGCACCCACCCGCCGCCTCTCTTCCTTTGTAGCTTCGTCGCCATGGACGACGCTGACGTCCCTTCGCTGGCCGGGAATCTTGCCGGCGCCGGGGAGAACTGCGAAGCTGTCGACACTCGGGGGGCAATTCAGGCATTTCGAAAAAATTCTCACCACTTTCATCACGAAAATGATAAAATAATGTGTCCGGTGTTCTAGGCAAATTTCACAGTTTATTAGTGTCCTAGAACAGTGTCACGTTTTCGCGGTGTCTCTTAGTTAATTACACAATTTTTACGTGTCATGTAACAAATTTTGCCTTTTTAGACTGGTGAATGGATGCGCATGTTAAGGAAAAATAGATAGAACACATTTTCATTCTTGTGTAAAAATGTGGGGCCTGTTCACTTTGATGTCAAAAAATAAACCGTACCAAAATTTGGCATTTCTTATATAGTTACTAAAATTAAACAACAAACTAAATATATTCATTTTTTGATAACTTTAATAAAATTTAGTAAGGTTGAAAATAACATCTAATAAAATTTAGTAAGATTGAAAATGATATCAAAGTGAACATGCCCGTGGTCATAAGCCACATGAGCCATTGCGGCGTTGCCCACGCCACAAACGTACATGAACAGAGAGTATGTTTTTTTCTTTCCATTAAAAAAATATAACCATCCTCTCTAGTCGTTTCTGAACACAACAAGATTGTTCTATATACCCGCAGCCGCAATCGCAGCACAAAAAATAAACAAAAATGTGACATCAACCATAAACAAAAAACAAACAAAAATTTTCGCCTGCTAACGCCAGAATATTCCAGTGGCCCCTCTTCTAGCTCACGCCAGATCGTTGCAAATAAACTACTTCCAACATCGCCATCGCGGTGTTTGACACGGGAGATGTTTCTTGCCCCAGAAGAAGAGGACAAGCAGATTACCCACTAATCAATCTTAATGATATGCTTAATTACCCCCCATAAGGCCATTACCACAAGATAAGACACCATCCTCGCATATACAACCATATTTAATTATTCCGACGATAATACGACGCCGTAATAACTAAGTTGAAAGCAAGCGAAATGTCCCCATCGCACGCCATTAGCCGCACTAATTAACCATCGAGATTAAAAAAGATAATTAATTGTTGGAGCACTAGATTAATCTTGCCGACGACGGCCGCGGCTAAAGAGAGCAGCGTCTCGAACCCTCCTGAAGACGGAATGGCTGGCTGCCTGTCAAATTTGTCGCCGTCGTCGATGACCTCACCGGCGACAGCTACGCATCACCGAGGTTTTTAACAGTTTGATTAATCATATAATTAGCGATATAATAATAATGGTGGTGATGATTAGTAGCTAGAACAAAAAATTTCATCATCAAGATGGTGGTGGCTGGCTTGTCCATGGATGGATTCATGGATTACATCATCATTCATCACACTGCATTGCATTACGGCCTCAACTCAACTGCTGCTGTTATTTACAAGTCTAGATTACTCTAGTAATCCCTCGGGTTGATGCATGGAGATGACTAAGCTAAGCTAGCTAATGACGACGGCGACGAACTGAACCGCTAAAAACCATGCCGTGGTTTTGATACAGCGGGTGGGGGAGCGGAGGCGGCGGCGGCGGAGGAGGAGCTCACATGACGGAGCAGGCGTTGGGGTTCTCGTCGCTGAACATCTGGGGGGCATGGACGTTGTACGGGTAGGGCTGGTACGCGGCGGCGGCGGCGGCGTTGGGGTGGTGGTAGAAGGCGGCGGGGTTGGGCGGCGGGGCGCCGCCGTAGTAGGCGGCGCCGGGGTGGACGTGGTACGGGTTGAAGCCGTACTGCGGCGGCATCTGGAACATGCCCGCGTCGGCGAGGGGCACCGGCGCCACGGACGCCGAGGCGGCCGCCGACTTGTCCTTGTCCGTCTTCTCGCCGCCGGCGTCCTTCTTGTCGCCGCCGCCACCGCCGCCCTCCTTTTTGTCCTTCTTGTCGCCGCCGCCGCCGTCCTTCTTGTCACCGCCGCCGGCGCCGTCCTTCTTGCCTGGCGCGACGACCTCGACTTGCCGGCTGAGCTTGTCCTTGAGGTAGCCCGGGAGCGCGGCGGCGTCCATGGTGCCGGTCACCTTGACCAGGTCCTTGGCGGCGTCCACCGCCACATCCTTCACCCCTGCAATCGCGTCAAACGCAATAAGGCGTCAATCTCGGCCCAAAAGTGAAAAAACTCGATTCCTGATTACGAATTCAGATTCCGCCGCAAAGAACACCCACCTTTGATCTTGTAGATGCGGCGCTTGATGCGGTCGATGCATCCCTCGCAGTGGAGGCGGATCTTGAGCGTCACCGTCTCCTGATTGGAAAATCAAGAATCCAAAAGGCAGAGGAATTTCAGAACAGTTTTTGCATGTGCGTCACGCATGGCGGAAACGGAATCAGCAGAGGAATTAATTCCATCCAACTAAACTAACCTCTTTGGGCTCCTTGGCTTTCTTCTCCTCCTTGGGCTTGTCGCCGCCGCCCTTCTCCTTCTCCGCCTTCTTATCGCCGCCGCCGCCGCCCTTCTCCTTCTCGGCCTTCTTGTCGTCGCCGCCGCCCTTCTTGTCCTTGTCCTTCTTCTCCTCCTTATCCTTCTTGGGCGGCGGGCCGGCGCCGGCGGAGACGATCTGCACGGCCTTCTTGGTCCGCGCCTCGATGCGCTCCTTCAGCTCCGCCGCGTCCGCCGCGCCGGTGACCACCACCTTGTTCCCCGCCGTGTCCGTCACAACCGTCTCCACACCTGCTCACGCCACCACAACAACCCATCACGACCCAGAACGAGCGGACGAACACCTACCGACCGCGCCGCGAACAACCGCGCACACGTACCGGGGGCGCGCTTGATGGCCTTCTTGACCTTGCTGGCGCAGCCGGCGCAATGCAACTCGACCTTGAGCACGATAGGCCCCGGCGCCGCCGCCGCCGCCTTCTCGCCGCCGCCGGCGGCGTCCTTCTTCTCGCCGGCGTCCTTGCCGCTCGCCTTATCCTTCTTCTCCTCACCCATGGCGACGGTGGGCTCCTGTCACCGCGGACTCCGAGGAAGGAAAACGGTGGTGGTTACTGGGGGCGTGTGGATGGGGGCGCGGGGTTCGAGGAGCGGAGGTTTGAGGAGAGGAGGTGGAGGAGGTGGGGGGTAGGGGGAGTTAAATAGGAGGAGAGGAGGGATAGTGATGAGAGTGTGCGGCTTTTACTTGGGGTTGAGTTGGTGGGCGCAGTAATGGAGGTATTAGCGGGTTAACGGGTCGGGGAACCCGGTAAGGGCGGGGGGGGCGGACCGGTCTGCGCTGCAGTGGTGGCTGCTGACTTGTTGGGAATGGTGAGGCTGTCTTGGTGGGCCCAGGGGCGTGTGCCCTTCGTTCTCGTTTTTGTTCCTGGCTGGTTCGTGTTTCCAGCTATAGCCCCTTGTTTTCTACTGCTAGTACATCTCCGTTTTAAAATAGGTTCATTTGTGTGTTTTTTATCTAATTTTTAACTGTTCGTTTTATTAAAAATATTATGAAAAAAATTTAAAAATAAGTCTCGTATAAAGTATTATTCATATTTTATCATCTAATGACAACAAAAATACTAATTATTGAAAAGATTTAAATAAGATGGACGATCAAATATTGGACACAGATATATCTCTGTCCCAAAATGTAACTATTTAGGATAAGTCTAAGGCTGAGTTTGGGAGCGAGGGTTGTGAACACTCAGGGCCTGTTTGGTTGGTGCCACATTTTGCCACACTTGAGGTATGTTAGTTTGACCAAATGTAGATAGTGTTTGGTTTGTTTTTATAACTTTGGCATGCCACACTTTCTATTCTTTTGGTCCCACTAGTCATAGACCCTTTTCTTAGCCAAAGTTTACCACAAGTGTGGCCATCAAAATTTGAGCCACACAATTTGCATCTTGCCACACCTTTGGTACAAAAACTGTGGTAAATTGAGGTGGGCATCCAAACAGCCCCTCGCTCCCAACATGCTAAATGGAGTGGCTGTTAGGGCATGATTTATTAAGTATTAGCTAAAATAAATTTGAAAAATGGATTAATATATTTTTTAAAGCAACCTTCTTATATTTTTTTTGCAAAATATGTAATGTTTAGTATTTTATTTTTTTTTTGCAAAATATGTAATGTTTAGTATTTTAGGAAACGTGCGCGCGGAAAGCGATATAGGTGAGTTGGGAAATATGAAGAAGAACACAGCCTAATCATGGAGCATATCTAGATTTATAGTTCTATGTTGTTATATTCTGGAATAGATGAAATATAAATGAACTTATTTTGAAACGATGGGATTTTTTTTTTAGCATTTACGGCCTATTTGGCAAGAGAAGGGAAGAGGAATGGGAGTTTTAAGGAGGGAGTTGATGGTGGGATTGGTCATGAGAGTTAAGTCCTCATCCCTTGTTTGATTTCACGTCGAATTCCCTCCCAGTCTCACGAATTAACAGGCCTCTCCCAGGTAAGATATTGGTGGGAATTCGACCTTTTAATTCCTCATCCCAAACCCCCTCGAATTCCCAAGTCTTCCAACCAAATTACAGACTTAAACTCCCAGATATCATAAACTCTTATTCCTCATCACCAACTCCTTCCAACCAAACAGGCCGTTAGTGGAGTTGGAGTGATGATTATTATTTTTTTACTTATTTTTCACGTGCAGAATAGTGGAGAGAAGAAACTGTGTTTCTTGTGCTAGGACCAAGGAAACAACGTCGAATACTCCAAAGTCCAAATATGGGAGATATTTCCCTCAGAAAAAAAAATATGGGAGATGGTACGGATGCAACATATGCATGGTGGGCCAAATTTTTTGAAACGAACTGTGCGCGCGTCGCGTCGGTCCGCTCGTTTGCTTCCCGGTGGAAGCGGTTTTTTTTCCCCTCCCCGGAATTCGGGGAGCGAGGCGGGCGGGAGCCGTCGCGTCGCGGCCGTAGATTTGACTTTTCAACTCCCAAAGCCACGTGGCGCTGTGCCAGGGAGCCACGGGAGCGCCACGTGTACGTGCTGTCCGGTGGGCCCGGCACGGACGAACAGCAAACGGAGCCCGCGTGGATGCTCGGAAGTGTGCTGGGCCGCATGGGTGCCTGCTGCTAAGTGGGCCCTGGCCGACGACTTTGACCGGACGCTGGGCTGGGTGCGTACCGTGCGTTGCGGTTGACCGAAATTAAGGCTTGGGTTGGTGCGGCTCTCATGTTGGGCGCGTGAACGCGTGACGGGGGCGTAATTGAGGTCGAAAAATCGAAACTAATAACAGTCGAATGGACTCTGGCAGGGTGGGCCCACGCTCGCCCTCGTGATCGTTTTTATTCCAGGGGTATGAAGTGAATCAGAGTTGGTGGATTGGTGCATAGCCATCATGTATTCTATTTTTAAATTTTGGAAGAACATATTATAGATTTTGTGTTTAGTTCACGTTAAAATTGGAAGTTTGGTTGAAATTAAAACGATGTGACGGAAAAGTTGAAAATTTATGTGTGTAGAAAAGTTTTGATGTGATGGAAAAGTTGGAAGTTTGAAGAAAAACTTTCGAACTAGACACGGTGAAATATAATAACTATGTGAATCTTAAAATATACAGACTTGGTCAAATATAGCAATAGATATATGTTATGCATGTGTGCTTTCATGATGATGGTTTGCGGAGGTTTATAAGAGGGCCTATGCTGTATGCGTGTGTAACTCTATTTAGGTTGATCGATCCTTCTGATGAAAACGTTACAATGGTGTTATACTCCATTCGTTTAATATTACAAGTCGCTTTGATTTTTTTAAAAAAATATATTTTTGATCAAATGTATAGAAAAGTGTAGCATTTTTAAAGTTTGATCAAATTTATAAAAGTTTGACTTAAAAAATTTAAAGCAATGGAGGAACATATTATTGGTGCGCGTCAAAAATCTTATATCGTGCTCTCCTAGAGACTTCACGCTACACATGAAAGCAAGAAACGCCCATGGTCTTTCAGCTAACTTCACAGGGTGGTCTGCTAGACGATCTGAATTCGAAGACTCATCCCTTCTAATTATTTGATATTATTTTGATATTAGATCATTCCCTAATATTCGCATTTTTTTACACATATAAAACACCACTCCTTCCTTCGTCCTGGCCGACCGGCTAGACGGCTACGGCTACTCACCGCCATCACCGGCCGGCAATGGCCAGCGCGGGGGCGCTGATGATGGTGACCTTCTTCTTCGACCTGACCTGGAGGAGCAACTCCAAGCACTGCACGTCGAACTTCCCGGCGACCATCACCCGTCTCGCTGGAATGTCCACCGTCACCTTGTCAACGCCGGGGTAGTCCATCACAAGCTTCCTGACCATCTTGCTGTGTCCCCAGCAATCCATATCAATCTGCAGGACGGCGACAGCCGGCGAGGACTCCGACGTCGAGGCGCCGTTGCCGCTACCGCCGGCACCCCCGGCTACGGCCGCGTTCTCGGCGGCGGCATCGTCCAGCTTCTCCTTCACGGAGGAGACCGACGGCGGTGGCCACCGCCGACCAGCAGCCGCGCATGTGGTGTCTGATCAGTGATCACTCTCGTGCATTGAGCTAGAGAAGTACGGGTGGAATTTTTTTTTCCACTCTTCAATACATTTCATGCTTATGTACGGGCTTCGCAAAATCGAGAGACGTCTCGTTTTAGTGCCAACGAATGACGCCATCAGATGTTGTCTGAATATGTGTTAATATATAGTACTTGGCTATCAAGTAAGTATAAAATACGTTACTACTACCTATGCTTCAAATAAAATTTTCTCTTAACTTACTCATCCGATCTACGATCCGATTACACCGTTGTGTTCGTAACAATTAAATCTTTATAATAAGATCTCACATGATTATATTTTGATGAAAAAATACAAGTTATTTTTAGATTATATCTAAATTACATTTTAGACATATAAAAGTAAATTCAATAAAGCGTAAAAGTAATTTACATATATTATAGAAGTAACTTAAAACAGAAGGAAAGTAACTTGTCACGACATTAGAAGTAAATCCGTTGTGGGGTTACTGTGATATGTTGATTAAATCTAATTTCTAGATAGACTTATATTTTTACCCCTATAATAGATTTACTTTTAATACCGTAACAATTTACTTTACTTTTGTTTTAAGTTTCTTTTATAATATATGTAAATTACTTTCAGGTTTTATTGAATTTAATTTTATGACTGAGAAGTAATTTAGTAAAATCTAAAAATAATTTAGATATATTATAAAAGTAATTTGTATTTTTTCATAGAAAATATAATCATGTGAGATCTTGTTATAAAGATTTAATTCTGACGAAACCAATGATGTAATCGGATCACAAATCGGATGAGTAATTTAAGAGAAAATTCTATAAGAAGAAAAAATACATGCACTTTCAGGTGTATTAGTAGCAACTGGATATAAGATTGATGTCGCTGGTTACAATAATTCAACGTATGGTCTCGTCGTAGTCACGTCCATTAACGGGAAGATCTTTGTAGAATCGGGCGCCCATGCTTATACCATATTTTTAGGTTTCACTTTCTTTTCTTATTTTGTTCCTTAATTACCAAATGTAAAATAACCTACCGTATATATGTTTTTCTTCCCTTCCCTGTTTTGTTTATTACCAAAATTTTGCATCCATACTACATGGAAGTTTCTTTCTTTTTCACGGGAAGCTAGAATTTGAATCAAGTTTTCTCATGCACGGACGTTTTCTTTTTTGGGAATTGCACGGTTGCACCGCACGTCGACGACTAGAGAAGGCGAGAGGTGGCCTGCGAGCAGCCTGACCTGACCTGCGCTGCGCTAGAGATTTGAATTGAGAGGCCCAATTGAGGCCTAGCGCGCTCTATGTGCACTCCGGTCCGGCCCAAACATGATGGGCCGCACGTTGATCGCAGTCCTGTTCTTGCCGTACAATGAGTCAGTTTTGCTATAAATCTGTCACCATTTCTGCTTACAAATCTATCGATTTCTGGACATACGATTAAATATAGAGTGAATTGCACATTGGGTCACATCTTATTACCAGAGTTGCAAGTTGGACTAGGGGTAAGTCAATATTACCACTTTGTACTAGGTATTTTTGCACAAGTTTCATATTGGACTAGTGTTTCCTAATTCTCTTCTTTCTTTGCTTCATTGAGTTGAGGCCGATGTATATTAGCTTGAGCATGGTGCACCAATGCCACTGATATTATCCCATGCTCGAGAGTGATTAGATGGCATCAGTGATGGGTTGTTTGATTTGGGGGAAGACGAGATGGTGGTGTAAGGTGAAACAAATGGCAATATAATATGGTCCAAAGTGAAAATCTTGGATAAGACTTAATCCAACCCGCAACAAGGGTCAAAATATATGGCCTAAACTGCAATTTACTCTTAAATATATAAAAGTTAACAGGCATCATTTATTAGAAAATAGAGCTTGGTATTGGATATATGATAACTAAAATTAACTCTATGCATTGGCAGCTGCAGCTTCGTTATTTCACCAATTGTTGGGTAAACTAGCATAAAAGTAGCTAGCTAGCTAGTGCAATCGACCGGGCGGCGGTGGCGGTTGTCGCCCGTAGAATAGCTCGCCGGTGCCCAGTGCTCGCCTCAGCTCGCTAGGTTATATTGCATTATACGTCGTCGTCGTCGTCACTGGATGGAGCAGCCACTGGGGTTCTCATCGCTGAAGTAGGACGGCGGGTACCGAAAGCTGTTCCCGCTGCCGTGCTGCCGGTAGTCGCCGCCGTACTGATGCGGCGGAGCAGCCGGCGGCGCCGCCTGCTGAGGCGGAGCAGCCGCCGGCGGGGCTTGTTGAGGTGGCTCGACGGCGCCGGCGGTGATGCTGACGATGGCGACGTCCCTCTTAATCTTGGCCTTGAGCCGCGCCTGGATCGCCGCCGCGTCGGCGGTGCCGTGCACCACCACCGTCCCCGGCGACCCGAGGCTCGCCGTCGCCAGCGCCACCCCTGATGCATCATCCACATCGACATGAAAGAGATCAACACATCTGACACTTTAATTATTATCACATCGATCTTGATCACGGAAGTCCACAAGCGCGCGCAAGCAGGAGATCGATTGGTATATATATATATACGCACCTGAAATTTTCTTGATCGTCTTCTCGATCTTCCTCGCGCAGCCATTACAGTGCACTTCCATCTCGAGGATCACAGTCGCAGGCGCCATTGTTTCCGATGATATCCAGCGTGGGTTCAACCTCTTGAATTTCTTTGAGATGTGAGACGGGCGTGTACACATGGTAGCTCTGCGTGATTTTATACTAGAGCTGTGAGCACATCAAAGTTAATTAAAATTTTGTAATCAAACTCAATCTAATCCCACAATTACCTCTACACAGTTAAGTAGCCGGATCTCTTTCCCTGCATGAATGACCAGCCAAGCATATACGCAAAGAATACACGCGCGTTGCTACGTGTAGGCAAGTTCTTTCCTTTGCGGTCGCGGATTTCAGCTGGAAACGCGCCCGTGTGTCACGCAGCAGCTACGAGCTCCGTACAGGAGGTTGGGCCGAAATTTTGTTTTAGAAATTGTTTAGGGTGGCATTGGGCTGTGCGAGGCATGCATAAGTTTGTTTGGACCTGTGTCAAAAGTTGTGGTACTGTACTTGTGTAATGTAATTATATTGAATCGGACAAGAAAGCACTACTACAACACTGATTATCCCGTGCGCATTAAACGATTTTTGCGTGTGGGTGGGCGGCCCGCATGCACCCAAGTGTCTAAGAAAATCGTGATTTTCGCATGCGGGTGGCGCCCCTGCACGCGAAAATCGGATTTTCACTAGGTCGCCTGCACGAAAAAACAAAAATCCGGAAAAAAAATTCAATAAAATAAAAACCCTCCTCGTCGTCGTCGGCGCCCGCCTCCCACCGACCTCCGCCGGATCCGCGCTCCCCTCCGACCGCACCAATGCTGACGCCCCTCCCCTCTGCTGGATCTAGGGAGGGGAGTCGGATCCCGCGCGGGGGAGGGCGGCTGGCCGCCGGATCCGTGGCGGGGACAGCCGCCGCGTGCCGTATCCCGTGCATCCACTGTCGTCACACGCCGCCGTCGCTGTCGCCATGGGCCGCCGCCGTCGCCTACACCCGCCGCCCGCCATCGGCGTTGTCGCCGCGGTAGGAGAGGATAGAGGAGTGAGGAGAGGATAGGAGAGGCACGTGTGAGAGAGAGAAGACGCGTGAGATAATAAAAAAGAGAGAGGGGACCGAGGCGCATGGAAAAAAGGGGAAATTTCGAAGTGGGTAGGAGGGAAAAGAGGGATGAGTATTTTTACGTGCGGTTCTCTTAATATGTCCGCATAGGAAAATCAGTTTATTTTCCTGTGTGGTCCATTTAAGAGGACCGCACGGGAAAATTCGATTTCCCGTGCAGGCAACAGCCTGCGCCCAGGTCCCCCTATTTTTCTGTGCGGTTTTACTTACGAACCGTTTGGAAACAAAAGGGGGCAGCGTCCAGAAAAATCAATTGTGTAATAGTGAAGCTCAAAATTATTATCATAAGATATATGTAACTATATCCGACTCTCGTTAACAAATATCATATATCGGTGCTCGTCATCAATTTGGATCATATGTATCGTGCTCTTTGCATTTGGCCATTAAGATCTATATCATGTCAGTTTTTATAACAAATGGTATCAAAGCTAACTGAACTTAACATTCACACTTTCATATCCTTAGACCGAGCAAATGATAGTACGAGAAATCCATTGTGACATAGATTTCCATATATTCGCATTGAATCACTCGAAGATGTTACCTAATAGTACTCACTGTTCCTCATCTTTAATAACATAATTTCATATATCTGCATTATAACAACTTATAGATCTTGGACATATCATATCATCCCGCCAACTCATAATTTAACTGGTATGTTGCCACCAAGTTGCTACAAAGGAATTCAGTTTTGCTTGACAAGATGACTGCTAGGATGGAAGAGATGGTGAAAGTACTGTTGTAGGTGGAGTTTCGAGGAAGAAGTTATAGAGAAAATGAAAGCAACGAGTGATAGGCTTGTCGAGTAGCTCGTGAGAGCAGCAAAAGGAAGCAAGTCAAGTCTGAGTACATGGAGGTTCGCATGTGAATAAATTCAAATTGAAATGGCATATTCATCAATATGAAGTTTGTTTTAGACTGTGTCGGATATAGTTGCAGAGTTGTTAAATAAATCGGGACTTGAAGTTGTAATAGGTGTAAGATAGAATTAGGATTGGACTATGTTTTGGTATCTCTCTTAAATAGAGAGAATACATGTTACCGTATGGCTGCAACAACATAGGTGGGGATACGAGTGGTGGGTGGCCTAGCTAGATCGGGGAGGAACGCTCTCAATCATTGCTCTGGGGATGTAGGTGTTGGCTGAACCTTGTTAACAAATGCCATGCCTCAGTGTCATCATTGTCTGATATGATTTTCTTGCGTGTTCAGATACTGATGTCTATGTCGGTTGTTGAGGTATAACAACGCACATGGTTTTTCTTTTACGCCATTTTGTAGTGCCGTGGAATAGAAAAACACCATGCTAAAAATGTCGATGTATCGAAAATGTTCGATTTTAAAAAAAAGTTTCATGAGGTCTTTCAAATATTTTTTTAGGAAAATATTCAATAAAAATATAAAAACTAATTCAAATCCAAGATAGATAAATTAAAATGATAATGTTTTGATTAGGACATTCCAACACTTTTCTTGTTCTAGGACAATGTGCATATGATCCAAATTCAAGAATATAATAGTTAACGAAATATGTCGAAACATATTTTTTTCTACTTTATTTATACTATGTCATGTATGTTAATATTAAATATGATCATATAGAGAACACAATAAAAATAAATTACAGTATAATCTGAATCAGAATTTTTTATTATTTACCATTGGATACGCACGCTTCATAGCTTTTGACGACATTTCATTTGTCCAATCGAATCGTCGATCAGTCATGCTGCGCCGTCCATATGTTTCCACTGCTCGGCGCCACGACACCGTAACCACGATCACCGTTGCCACTTGCCAGTCACCACCGCTCTGCCGCTCCGGATATCGGTTGTTTTTAACTTTATCTGATATCCTAATTATGTTCTAATTCGACTCAACGTATTTGAATATATTCCAATTTATTATAATTTTACACTTTACACCCTTTGCTCAACTAATCTCAATGACCCAAAAGTTAGCCCAAATAAAAGAGAAGAAGAAAAGACGAAACACGAGAAAAAGAAAAATTTTCTCGTGCCCGTTTCTCCGCGCTTCGCTTCCCCCGTCGGTTCCTTCCTGCCCATCTCCGCTCCCTCCATCCATCCATCCCCCACCTCCGCTCTCTAGGGTTTCTCCCCCGCCTCCTCCCCCCCAATCTCGCCGCCGCGATGGTCTCCGGCGCGGCGCATTCGGCCTCCACCAGTGGCGGCGGCGGGGGGAGCGAGGGCTCCCCCACCGGCCGCGCCGCGCCGGGCATGCAGGGCGGCGGCAGCGCCGCCACGCCCGCCGCCTCGGCCTCCGCGTCCACGCCGGCCAGCGAGACCACCGTCGCCCGCCGCCTCGACGGCCTCGACATCCAGGGCGACGACGCGCCCTCGTCGCAGCCCGCCACGAGGTCCGTGAAGAAATCTGCCGATGCATCGTTTCAGGCTCTCAGTTGCTCGGGGTTGACTCGCCCCTTGGGGCTGGTCTGGTCAGGATTTCCTGGCGGGGGTGGGGATTGGGATCCTCCGTGGTCTGTGATGGGGTTTATGGTTGCGAGGATCGGCAGTGTACCGAGCTGCATTTGCTCGGCAACTAAGATTCGGTTCTGAGTATAATGCTGTAGCTTGTTTGTTGTTGAAAATTGATGCGATGGTAATGAATGAGAGTGCTGCTAAGATATGATGCTGAACTTGAGCAAAGTGTTATGATTGCTTTGTATTGAGCATGTTTACACAAGCCATGGGAAATTGTTGTTTCATATTCTCAAGTTAACTTTTGGATTTAGGTATCAAACTAGTATAACAGGAATTCCACCAGTTATTTGACTATGGTGCCTTCCGCTGTCTGTCGTACATGGTGGTTGCTAGTTGTGTTCTCTACAGAATGTGCTGACCAATATAATTAACATCAATGTGCATAGCACTTCCATAGTCCACAGAAGTATTTGCTATTTCTCGTTTATCTTTGATCAAAGCCACTTCCATGCTGGTTTACTTAGAACTACATATTTATATGTTGTTTGTTGTACTGTTGTTGCTTGCTAGCTTAAGCTGATTCACATCTAGCAACATTTAAAGAACATAAATTGGTTCTGTTTTCCGTCATCGTGAAATTTTTATTTTTTGTTTCTTTGTGTATCACTGTTAATAAATTTCATAGTACACTTGTGATGAAAAGATGCCTCTCCTTTTGTGATGCAGCAAGAAGAAAAAAAGGGGGCCTGGAACACGTGCAACGGGCCCTGACAAGGGTGGCCGTGGATTGCGCCAATTTAGTATGAAAGGTGACGAATAGTTTTCTAGCTCACTAATATATTTGTGATGTTCATCTCCATATTGATTTACATGGAACATAACCTTAAGGCAATTGACAGATATTACTATAATCATTTAAATGCAACTGGTGCAGAAGCATCTTTTGCTGAATATTTTCAAATCAGACATGCATTTTGCTATTTGAGAGCACTATTTTAGTTAGTTTTACTTCACCATGTGCTAGCATTAACAGTTGTAATGGAGTGTTTCATTTGTTCTTACCAGTTTGTGAGAAAGTTGAAAGCAAAGGGAGAACAACCTACAACGAGGTATTGTGTTCATATTACTTTGTAAACTGTACTTGTCTTATTTTTAACATGGTTAACTGTAGTGTTATAAAAGGCGTTAGCTGCTAAGTGGGTACTTATCCTGGCTGATGCATCTGTCTTTTCCCAAAATCTGAAAAATCAGCTTTGCTGTTTTGTCTCATCTGTTCTAAACTTAGCATGAAGCCAAGCCAAAGGATATTCATCTTGTTTTGGTGAGATTGAATCCAATTATCTAGTTTATCTTAGGTGTTGCTACATGTTACATAGGGTGATTATACGGTCATAAAATGTATTGGCTGGTTCCAACGACAGCACTTGTTTGGTTCTTTTTATTATTATTTGTGTTTAAACAATAATATATGTATGGATTGTCTTTTTCAGGTGGCAGATGAGCTTGTAGCTGAGTTTGCAGACCCCAACAATAATTTTGCATCACCTGATCCTGACAACCCTAACACAGTTAAGAAATATGACTACTCTCCTTTGTCACTTTTATGCTATATTTTATCTGTAATGCTGATTATGTGAATGCAACACAGCCACAATTTGATGAGAAAAATATACGACGAAGGGTTTATGATGCATTGAATGTCCTGATGGCTATGGATATTATATCTAAGGATAAAAAGGAAATTCAGTGGAAGGGCTTGCCTCGGACAAGTATGAGCGATGTTGAAGAATTGAAGGTTGTCTTCTTGCATCTAATCCTTTATGTTTACTGACATTTCTTTTTTTTCCCCTGGCTGCTCCCTTGATAAATTTATACAAATTTTACAGACAGAGATCATCGGACTGAAAGGTAGGATCGACAAGAAAAATGCATATTTGCAGGAGTTAGAAGATCAAGTAAGGATATTTTCTTCTATCTAATGTTACGAATCTACTTAAAAGTGCTTAGTTCTGAATCTTTTTCCTAGCTGCAGTTGAATATTCTTAAAGCTACTAATAATATAAACATTTTAACTCTGCCTTGAATGGTTAAGTCATCAGTGCCAATGGACAATGTGTAGGGAAAGGTGCCCCCTGATACTCTACAGTTTGCATGAAAACTTAAGGAAATAACCAAATCTTCTCTTTTTGTTCTTTCTGATATCAGAAATGAATGCAAAAGATGTTTAATCGATTACTGCTGTACGGGTGTGCTGCTTGAGTATCTATGTTTGAGAGTGCTGATTACCGACCACTTTACATATGAACCAAATTCAGTATGTTTTAACTCTTGTCAGTGTTGGTCATGGGCAACAACAGCACACCACATTAAAGTCATTGTCTCCAACAACTCATTAATGCCTGTTGTCATAAATGTGTTCATGATAATGTATTAAAATTTTATTTCCCAACCATGGACTGAACAAATATAGTATGTTTTAAACAGAAAGGGCTGATTTAATTTTGAGTAATGGTAGAAGCCTATAACTTTACTCGAAGCTAGGATAATAAATGGTTTAAAACTCTCTGATCAAATGGTGTTGCCAACTTAGCCATTTGATTTTATTTATCTCTCATGTTGCCTCACCATGATGGATCTTACAGACGTTGCTTTTTTTTTTTCTTTTGTATTTAAGTTTGTAGGTCTTCAAAACTTGGCACAGCGAAACGAGCAGCTTTATGGTTCAGGAAATGCTCCTTCAGGAGGAGTGGCATTGCCATTTATATTGGTGCAGGTATAGGAAATGTTATCTTATTCCCCAGTCCTCACTCAGATATCGGCCTAGACAAACCCTTATGTTTGATTTCCTGAGCTGATTTGATTAGCTTTTTTCCATATGAATTGAAAGTAATGTAGGTGTTACTTCAGCCCTTGTGAAAACAAAACAAAACGACAATGAATGAACGAAATCACCTAGTCAGGCCAATTTCTAGTGTCCACTTATGGCTTGTAATATTTGGCCAATCTGCTTTTGGTACCCTAATTTTGAGATTCTAGACCATTTGGATAATGACACTGGGATGCCAAGTTCAAATCCTGTTATATCTTAAGCCAGACCTGGTTGGACCTATGACTTATATAATTATTGTCCAAAATTTCGGAGCAGTACCATTAGACATGTGCATATTCTTAGCTAATTATGAATTGAATATATTTTATGAAGTATTAATTGCAAGAGCCATCAATTAGTTGTAGGAGCAGCATTCTTGGTCAACTTTGCGGCTTTGCCTTCCCTGTTTCCGTTTTCTTTACAGCTTAACTTTCCATGCAATTGCTTTTCAATTTTATTGTGTATATTCTGCCATCATTTATTTATTTTATAATCACAGACTAAGTGACAGACTGACAGCTTTTTTTTTTCCTGTAGACACGTCCTCATGCTACAGTAGAAGTGGAGATATCAGAAGATATGCAGCTGGTGCATTTTGATTTCAATAGGTAAGACAAGAATATCTAATGCGTTCTCCCTAACATATGCATCGTACAAATTTCAGCTGGTGATGAACTTTCACTTTAGTACAGGTTTTCTTACTATTTTTGTACAACGTTTTAAACTATACATTTTTTCTATGCAAAGTTTTAAACAACTATTCACAAAAGCATAAACAGCTAGTCATTTTTCTGATCTTAATTACATTCATTTTCTGTTTTGAATTTATCCCTTATGAGGAAAATGAGATTTGACAAATCTTGACATTCTGTTGCATAATTCTGTTTGTTGGTCATGAATTTCTCTTAATGATTTGCTACTGTCTAATAGCTTGGTTGAAAGGTTGAAACTATGGTCCTTATAGTTGTAAGCAGTGTGGCAATGAGTCCTTATATTTGTAAGCAGTGTGGCAATGAGTCTCAGCGCTTGTAGTCCTATGCAACTATCATACAGCCCATTGTCAAAAAAGTGGGCAGATCCATTGATCATTATTTACTAATCAATCTGATATCAAAGAGAATGCTTGGTTGCTGAGATGGTAGCTTGTGTCTACATTTCGTCATGATCAGCCTATATAACTAGCTGATGAACCCCCTTTTCATCTTCTGCAATTTTTCTGTTTGCATTTTACGAGCGGTGCAAAATTAGGTGATTACCACTAAATCTTCATGACTGAATAACGAGTGACACATGTTTCTGAAAATGCAGCACTCCATTTGAACTGCATGACGATTCCTTTGTACTGAAAGCATTGGGGTTCTCTGGCAAAGAACCAGATGATACGCAAGCCTGGGTTGGAAATGGAGGTGAGTGCTCAACCACACCTATCTATCATCAATCACCCCAAGTTGCGAGGCCAAACGGAGTTAGACTACCAACATCGCCCCCTATTCCCGGTATACTTAAAGGGCGTGTCAAGCATGAACATTAGGGGTTACTATGATTTGTTGATGGTGTGAGGTACTTGGTTTATTTGTTACTCCCCAATTTTCCCTTTTTGTAACTTTACATGTAGAAAGAGCCTGTACATTAGATCAATGGGGGAAAAATGGCGGGTCTAGTTTAGTTTCACTGGTAGAAGATCGATGGGCATGTTGACAAACCATATGCCTAACTTAACTTGTAGGATTCAGCTTTCTGGTTTTTAGTAAACTCAATATTGTACTAATGTAATTGTGAAGTACTGTCTCATCAATAGTCATCTTATTTAGGATGAACATTCCTGGAGATTCAATAGTCATCTTATTTAGGATGAACATTCCAGGAGATTCCAGGCTGCTCTTGTCATATTTGTACTGGACAGGAGGAATTTATAGGCCAGATTGCGATGAAGTTAAGTTATACGTAACTTAAATCCTTGTCTTGTCTGCGCCATCTCGTGTGATGCTCGAGGAAAGCTAGCATCTATAGTGTTAAAACCCTTTTAGACGAACATCGAAGTAAAATCAAATCGTTGTGCCAGTGTTGTTTATGGAATCGTTTTCGTTTGGAAAACTAAGTTTTTGTCCACGTACAACTGGGAGCAACCATGCTTTGAGATAGAACTGTCTCTAACAGGCCAGATGGATCTTGTGGCTACGTAATGAACAGCCAAACAATTAATCATGGGAAAGGAGGGCAACTGCAAATACATAGAAAATATCGAACTGTATACACCATTAAGTGGAAAGATATTTGTTACCAACTGATGTGCATCAATCGGTGTCGCTGTCTTGGACAGCAGCCTGAATTAGCATCTATCTTGTGGCTCGGTGCGAATGAATTTTAAACCCTTCACCATTTCCACGTGTCCCTTACATGTCATCTAAACAATATGTCAAGTTATGAAAAATGGTACTTCCTCCGTTTCATAACGTACACTATGAAACAGAGGAACTATGTGAATAGGTGATACGTCACTTTCATAAATATATAGGTTGGAATATGACTTCTATAATTGGGTAAATGCGTATATTCACGGTGAAAACACTAGCACTCTGCCTTCTATAATTGGGTTGCAAATTAACTATCAGCACGTTGGTTTGGAGACAAGTACGTTAGGAGATAAAAGATTGGTAAATTACACCTAAAAGGATAATTTGCTAAAGGATACTTTTGGCTCAATTGGAGACATAAACTTAAAAAAAGACGAGAATACCACTAGGAACACGAGCTTCAAACATGGTGTTAGAGTAAAATTTTAGAAATTATGCAACTCTAAATTTACCATCACCCAAATACATCACAAGCATATATCATATTTTATTTTCATTCCAACCTCACCTTAAAAACTTTTGACCCAAGGGGCATTGTCATCTTTTTGAAAAAATTCTCTATCTCCAATTAAGCCGAAAGTATCCTTCAGAAAGTTAATCTTTCTAGAGTCTCTTTTAGTCATGACATGTTTTTACAATGTCTACTAACAAATTACACAAATTTCGAGTGTCACTAGCAAATTTTGTCTAAAAGATCAGTTCAAGTCGTGTTACCATGTGTTTTGCACCTAGTCAGTCAACTCCAACTGCTGTGTGTGGTCCGTAATTGATCAAAGAAAATATCACCCAGGGTGAATAGCGTCTTGACCTGAATAGCACCCCAACTCCCTAAGATTCAAAGTTCAAATCTTTATAGAAGCGAATTTCACATTGGATTATTTGAGGGTTAAGTGAGTAAGTTCTCTGTTTGATAGTCTAAGTTCCTAATTTAAAAAAGCTGCATGTATCCCGTTGGATGTAGATGCACCTTTCTCTTAAAAAAAACAGGGGTCCCCTCTTCACTGACATTATAAGCCACTCACATGTTAAGGATGGCATAAAATCAAATGCGGCGTTATTCATGCTTCTGCTTATAGAAAGTGTACTATAGTTGTGTACTCCCTCCGTCCCATAAAAAACTAACCTAGTACTGGATGTGACACATCCTGGTACTACGAATCTGAACAAACCTCTGTCCAGATTCATTGTACTAGAATATGTCACATCCAGTCTTAGATTCGTTTTTTTAAGGACGGAGGTCCTACTGGGAGTAACTTAAGTAATTTATCAAGAAGGTAGTAGCTACTAGCTCCTCGCAATACCATGGAGGACAAGCTGCTGCTGCTGCTGGCTCTGGCCGTGTCGGTGCTCGTCGCCGTCGTCATCTCCAAGCTGGTATCATATGCCACCAAGCCAAGGCTCAACCTGCCGCCGGGGCCATGGACGCTGCCGGTGATCGGCAGCATCCACCACCTCGTGGGGAGCCACCCCATCCACCGCTCGATGCGCGCGCTCGCCGAGAAGCACGGGCGCGACCTCATGCAGGTCTGGCTCGGCGAGCTTCCCGCGGTGGTCGTGTCGTCGCCGGAGGCGGCGCGGGACGTCCTCCGGAGCCAGGACCTCGCGTTCGCCGACCGCTACGTCAGCACCACCATCGCCGCGATCTACCTCGGCGGCCGGGACCTCGCCTTCGCGCCCTACGGCGAGCGGTGGCGGCAGCTGCGGAAGCTCTGCACGCAGCGGCTGCTGACCGCGGCGCGGGTGAGGTCGTTCCGGTGCGTCCGCGAGGAGGAGGTGGCGCGCCTCGTGCGCGACCTGGCGGCCTCCGCCGCCGCCGGCGAGGCCGTGGACCTCACCGCGAGGGTGGCCGAGCTCGTCAACGACGTCGTGGTGAGGTGCTGCATCGGCGGGCGCCGGAGCAGGTACCGCGACGAGTTCCTCGACGCCCTCCGCACCGCGCTGGACCAGACGACGTGGCTCACCGTCGCCGACGTCTTCCCGTCGAGCAAGCTGGCGCGGATGCTCGGCACGGCGCCGCGGAAGGCTCTCGCTTCCCGCAAGAAGATGGAGCGCATCCTGGAGCAGATCATCCAAGAACGGAAGCAGATCAAGGAGAGGAGCACCGGCGCCGGCGCCGGCGCCGACGACGAGGCGGCGGCGGCCGGAAACGAGTGCTTTCTGGACGTGCTGTTGAGGCTGCAGAAGGAAGGCGACACACCGATCCCAATCACAAACGAAACCATGATGTTGCTTCTACACGTAAGGATTAATTGCTTCTATATACCTCCTTTATCTAAAAATACTTAAAAACAAAGGAAGGTACTCCCTCCGTTTCATAAACGCTTTAATTTAATCTAGTATGAAAAAACATGGTAACATTTTCATACAAAACAAAAACATAGTATTAAAATGCATTCAATATTAAATTTAGTGGGACTAATTTGGTGTTATGATAGTTGCTATATTTCTCTAAAGATTTGATCAAACCTACTTAAGTTTGACATAAAAAAGAGTAAAAGAGAGACTTATAGCGTGGAATGCAGTGGATAGTTTTTTCAATTAATTTTTCAGTCGGTTTCTTACTTCATTCCACAATGAGTGTAATTCTAATGTTTAAATTTTATCCAACAAAGAGCAGCTTGTCCCATCAACCACTTCTCACTTAAAATTAATTTCTTTCCTTTTACCTAACCACGTACTCTCCCACAGATTTTTTTTAAAAAAACAATACGATTTTAATGAAAAATCGCAAAAATATAGGTCGGTTAGGCGAAATCGTACGTTTAGCACCCTGTCGAATAACCGTGGTTCGACAGGGTACCCTATCGAACAACTGCGGTTCGACAGGTACCTATTGGACTGCCACACTTTGACAGGCTAGTTGGTCCAAGAAAAAAAAAAGTACTTGCTACAGTACCTGGCAGGGACATATCCAACGGGCAGTGTTCGATAGGGGCGTGGCTACAGTGACACTACAATGTTTTTTTCTATTTTTAAAATTATTTAATCACATGTCGAACCGCGGTTGTTCGATAGGTACCCTGTCGAACCGGTGCTAAACTTGCGATTTCGTCTAACCGATATATATTTTTGCTATTTTTCATTAAAATCGTATTATTTCCCAAAAAAAAATTCCTCTCCCACCGATAGCCCATCCGTATTAAATAATGATATATATGTCATTTCCCTTCTCTACTAATTTTCCTTTTGAATCTTAGAACTGCTCTTTGTCGTAGTACATAGTAGTATTTGCCAGGAATAACGTGAAAAATTACAAATTTAAATAACATGAATGGAAATTGTAGTTTTAGTTTTTACTGTCTCTCTTCTGTTAACCTTGACACAGCATTATTTTTTCCAGTTTATAATTTTCTTATTTTATAATGGCAAGAGGACTCAAATGAATGTACTCATATTTAATTTCAAGTTAGAATTAGAACATTGCTTGTTTAACCACAAGGAAAAATATGTGCCAATTGATAAACATATATATGGTCCTAATCGTTAGAAGATCATCACTGTGTTGTATCCTCGTTCAATTAGAATGAGGTTTATGTGGCCTATGAGAGCTGTGTACACATCATCTTGCTAGTTTATCCAGAGTGAAACCAACTTATATGAGCTTGTCCCTCCAATCATATCACTTCGGGGTTAATTCTATTACACAAGGCGAGAACAAAAGCGTAAGTGTGGTGATATTGAGTGGGCTGGCTATTGGATGGACTGGGTTGTGCGGTTCCAAAGGATGGATTGTACACACCTTGAACAAATTTATTTAATGCTCAAATAATCTCTTTTGAAATTAAAATTACAGTTACTTAATATGAGGTGTAAGAAATCTAGAATAATTAGTAATACAATTCTAGGTTATTTGTCCACAAATTTAGGTGAGTGAGGGGGTAAGAAACCTAGCTAGAAATTCCATAGTGGTGGATGCGTATTTATAAAGTGACTGATGCGCAATATTTTTATTGTTGTTATTATTATTATTATTTCTTTTCTGAAAAGCTACTAATCCAAACAAAAGTTATACATTCTCATTCTAAAGTGCAGTTTATAAAATCTGAGCACATAAAGTAGCTAGACTGCTACTACTATTTACTACTGTTAGGCTGAGTTCTTTCCCAACTCACCTCCCTCGTTTTCTACGCACACGCTTTTCAAACTGCTAAATAGTGCTTTTTTTTTAAAAAAAAAATTCTCTATGAAAGTTGCTTTAAAAAATCATATTGATCTATTTTTCAAAAAGAAAATAAATACTTAATTAATCTCATGTGCTAATGGACCACTCTATTTTCCGTGCACAAGAGATTTGTTCTCAACACACCCAAACGAACACAGCCTTAATTGCAGAATATGAAATTTGTGGGCTAGTATACCTCTCATCAACGCCCAACTCTAGCTCCAAAAGAATTTCCAGAGCTATATAGACACGTATACCTTAAAGAATTACTGGAGCCAATAATTTCTCAAATAGTAGTAACAAACATAATGTATGTTTGCTGAAGCCCCTCAAAGTAAGAAAAAGAAGTCTAACTTAGACAAACGTAAAAGTGCATCTTTTATAACCATACAATTATAATAGATAAAAAAAGTTATATTGTATAAGGGTTGCAAGCTAGGTACATGATATATATACTTGTGTATGTCTGGACTGTATATTCTACAAATTTATATGATTCATTGATAATCAAGAATCATGGTACTGATAAATAACAAAATCACTGCAGAACATGTTTTCAGCAGGCAGCGAAACATCTAGCACCACTCTAAACTGGACTATGGCAGAGCTCATCAAGTCACCAAGAGTAATGGCGAAGGTGCATGATGAGGTGAGGCAAGCCTTTCAGGGAAAGAACACTATTACCGATGATGATGTTGCCAAATTGAGCTATCTTAAAATGGTAACCAAAGAGTCCTTGAGAATGCATTGCCCAGTGCCGCTCTTAGGCCCCCGAAGATGTCGTGAGACATGCAAGGTTATGGGTTATGATGTGCCCAAGGGCACTATCGTGTTTGTGAATGCATGGGCAATATGTAGGGATTCAAAGTATTGGAAGAGTGCCGAGGAGTTTAAGCCAGAGCGGTTTGAAAACATAAGTATAGACTATAATGGAAATAACTTTGAATTCCTTCCATTTGGATCTGGCCGTAGAATATGTCCAGGTATAACTCTTGGTATGGCCAACGTAGAATTCCCCTTGGCTAGTTTGCTTTACCATTTTGATTGGAAACTTCCTAATCAAATGGAGCCTGAGGAAATCGATATGAGAGAGGCACCTGGACTTGTTGGGCCTAAACGCACCAGCCTATATTTGCACCCTGTTACTCGTGTTGCTCCAAGCAGTGTTTAGGTGGCAACACATACATATCTGAAGTAATGCTATCATAGTATGTTGCCTTTTCTCCCTTCTATCGAAGTTGATGGGACATATCCCCAATTATCGCAATAAATTTGGATATCTAAATTGCTGTTTACATTTCAAATTCGCTAAATTTGTATTGTGCGGAGGGTATATACCATGTCAAACCTCAAATTTGTACTCAGTGTATATGTATTTTGATAAGGGCGCCTTTTGGACGCAATTTCGCAATGTACACCAAGAAATATTACTACATGAAAAGACAAGGTTTGTATACTTACGTGTAATTGGATATGAGTGTGTATGTTAAAAATTGATTAAATTTCACTTTGTGCCATTTTTATTAGCCAAGATTCACAATAGACTAGGGGTAAATCAATCTTTTCACTTAACAACACATATGTATACCATCCTTTGCACTTTTGGACCAGGGTTAGATAAGATTGCTATTACGGTCCTTAAATACCAAATATGACTGTCAATTCATGCATAAAAGCAAATAAAATGAAATACCAAACCTAGTGGTAGGGTTTATTACTAACCATTTCCACTAGAATTGTGTGCACGCAATTTTGTATGAAGATAACCCGCCATTTGAAGGAACACACCTCCGTCCGATCAGACGCAAGTATGTGGATCGAAGGGCCCACAAGTTGACCAAATTACCTCAAAATGAGTCAAACACTCTGTACCTACACCATGACTCAACGGACAACATTCTAGCCAAATGGGAGGATGAAAGGAGACATGGGGGATCGACCGAACTCGTGGTGAGCCCTCTCTGGCCGAACTAACGTAGGGAGTTCCCCACCACCTTCCTAAGTTCATCTGGGTCTACATGATTGAAGACGCCGGACTAGGGGTCAGCCAAATCGACCTTGGCCCAATGGCCCCCTCATCATGGCCCTCCACGTGGCAGCTCCTAATTGAATGCCAATGACAGTTGTGGGTGAAACCGATCTCCACAACCTTTACAACTGCACTATCCGGTTTTCAAGTTTAGGGGGTAATTCGGTTAGCTACAATAGTTCAAGGTAATTTGGACTTTTTCGTAATTATATTTGGTGTTATACAGTTATGTGCAAAGTTAGGCTTGTCCCTTTTACGCTGTCAAACTTTGATTAATAAAGATGGCCTAAAGCAATATTTAATTTTTGAAAACTCATCGGATTTTTTAGCTAATCAGGTGCCACACGGTTTGGTTACGTTATTATTTTCAAATTTTGCTATAAGACACCAAAGATTTGTGTAATTTGTTGATAAACATCGAAAAACGTGTCACGACTGAAAGACAATAAAAAACTAGTAATTTGCTAGAGAACACTTTCGGCTCAATTGGAGAGATAAATTATTAAGAAAGACGAGAATGACTGAGTACCACATGCTTTAAACATGGCATTAGAGTAAAAAAATTAAAAATTACGCAACTCCAAATTTGCCATCAACCTAAGTACATCTCTAGCATCCTTAAGGGCATTCTCATCTTTTTGAAGAATTTCTCTCTCGAATTGAGCCGGGATTGTTATCCAGCAAATTAGGGCATCCCCAATGGAAGCCACGGCTATAAGTGGCCTCACATGAGCCAGGTTGAGATCACACATGAGACACATATCTCTCTATAGAAGACACTCTTAAATGGGCCCTACAAAATCTAAGGCAAATGTTTAAAGGCACTCTAGCCCACAATATATGTGTCCTAATCCATGGAGCCAAATGCACGTTTTTCCTACCCTACCCTTAATTTATTTCAGCCCAAACCAACCACCAGCCTCCTCTTCTCGTTTTCTCCACCGCCCCCCAATACGGCAATACCGCACCCTCTAGCCATCGCCACCCACCCATCCTCCTTCTTTCTCATTTTCTCTGCCGAGCCCAAGAGGACATCTGCACATCGCTATGCCTAGATAGGAGGACAGTGGATGGAGAGAACGAAGAAGGATGGAGCGGCACCCCGACCGGAGGACAGTGGATGGAGAGAAAGAAGAGGATGGAGTGGAAGAAGAGGAAGAGCTCAAGATGGAGTGTGAGGGGGCTGTGCCCAAACTGGAAGACAGCGGATGAGGGGAGCATTTAGTGGCTGAATTAGATGGTACCTGCCATTGCTCACCCTTCCTTCTTCCTCCTCCTTGATCTAGATTTGCTCGCCTTCTTTCTTCATAATCTTCAATCTGATGTGGATGTGGGTTTGTAGTGCGGTGACTGACACGGGTCCACAGAACGGCAGCCTAGGGCAAGAAGAGAAAATGTGTGTGTGTGTGGGGGGGGGGGGGGGGACCATGATGTGGGGATGGGACACCGCGCCGGGCTCGCCCCAAAGCATAGCCACATGCCGTGGCTCAGGAAAAGAGAGCCGAGGAACAGACGCGCGTTTCCCTGCTGGGAATCACGCCTCCCTGCAGAGACGCAATTCTAGCTATAAAAGGGATAGGATCTCGACGGCATGAGCCAAGGGTACAAGCTAGGGATAGCCTTAGTAGTTTTTTAGGTATTTTCTAGCCATGACACATTTTACGACATCTACCAGTAAATTTTATAAATTTTGAGTATCTTATAGTAAATTTGTTTCTTTTTTATATATATCACATCAACACGGGTCAGATAAATTAAAGAATAACATATGTCAACGGAGGATACCCGTAAACCGGATATAGAGGGTATTGGGGTACGCTGGTACGAGGATCTACGTAGTACGACATCAAGCAAACAGAAAACAGGGATTATACTAGTTCAGTCCCCTTAGTAGGTAATAGCCCTACTCCAATTGATACGGGATTATATGATGTAAATCACAGATTACAAAGGGAATAGCGGAACTCAATGATACCGACGAGACCGTAGTCGAGTTGGTTCGACTAGATCACCCAGCGACCTGGCTCCGGTAGGCTCCGGCTTCGTAGGTTGTGGTGGTTGTCTTGGCTATGAGATTTGATGCCTTAGGTCCTCCTGGGGGTCCCTTTTATACCGCGGGTCAGGTGGTTTCCAAGTAGTACTCGGAGACATCGGACCCTATACGATACAGTGACGACCCAGTCCTATCCGGGTAGGAATCTTTTCATCTGTGGACTCCGTGATGAATTTCCTTAGCGTATACAGAGAACGCCCGTATACGCGCAGATATACCATATCGGTGTATAGCGTATATCCAAGGGTAGAGAGTATATCTTATCCGTAACCCTGACAACATCCATCCTGCATAATCTATCATCACAGAAAAAGTTGCGAACCTAGATTTTTTCGGCAAGCGTGACAAAAACAGATCGAGATGATGTGAACGTCAAGCAAACCTCGTGCTGTAGAAGAGCACACGACGCCAACAGCTACTGTAAATACGCAGAGAGCCGTACATGGCAAACAAAGCGGAAAGATATTTGTGATTTTTGTCGGTGGTGTGAGGCTGTGAGGTAGGAGTACCATTAACAGTGTGGTTGTATTCATTAACTGGGTATTCATTATGCATCGCTATATCCATACCTAATTTAAATTACCCATTTAAATTTTGAATATGGGGAGGGTATTACCATTTTACCTAATTTATTCATATATCAATTTGCTATATGTAAAACGTGGCTCTAAATTTTTAAAGTCACATTCACATTATAAAATCTTATAAAATTTAACTAAAATATGGAGGGATTATTTGTTATATGAAAGAGAAAATTTGTACAAATTTTGATCCATTTATACATGTAAAATCCACATATTTCTCTTCTGTATCCATTACATTAACCATACCTATTAGATAATACCCATTTAATTTAGGTATAAGTAATCTTTTTTAAGATAGGGATGAATAAAATTAGGTATGGATATGGATTACCCCAGTGGTAGGCCTACGTAGACACGTAGTGGGTTCCCAGGAATCAACCGCCCGATGCGCCCAAGGCCTGGTTCGCGTGCGAGAAGCGCTGTATTTGAGTCTTTGAGACAACGGCGAGTCGACGATGGTGTACTTGTGCGAAGAGCTTCCTTGGGCGTGGAGGAATACGACGCCGTTCCCTCGCCGTAGAGGAGGAACGAAGAAACCCAAGTCCAACAAAGGGGATCGTTTAAAAAGAGATTGTTCATTGGATTGATTAGCTATTTAACTATAAGGATAACTTAATTTTTAACAATTGGATTGATTAGCTATTTAACTATAAGGATAACTTAAATTTTTTTTAAATAAACTGATCAAATACTCCCTCCTTTTCATATTATCAGTCGCTTTAATTTTTTCTAAAATATATTTAGGTTTGATTAAGTTTATAGAAAAATTTAGCAACATTTATAACATGAAATTAGATGCATTAAATGTAACATTGAATATATTTGGATAATATGTTTGTTTTATGTTGAAAATGTTAATATATTTTTCTATAAATTTAGTCAAACTAATAAAAGTTTGAGTCGAAAAAGGTGAAAACGCTTTTGATAAAAAAAGTAAAAACGACTTACAATATGAAACAGAGTAAGTATTTTACTGTCATGACCCGAGGGCATGACGGGATAAACACCACCGGGAGGATAGCCGTGCGGCGTCGGCTCCTAGAGAAGGGATGTAGATTTAGCCTAGGGAGAAGAATATTGTTGGGAGGAAGAGATTAGACCAATTAATGATTGTTGGGAGGAAGAGATTAGACTAATTGATATTCATTGCTTAATTTTTATTTTTGAGAATTACACGTATAACGCAGACACTCATAACGCACGCACACTCACCCCTATAAACGTATGCACGCAAACCCTACCCCCTATGAGCATCTTCAAAGACTGAGCCAGATAAACACCACCGGGAGGATAGCCGTGCGGCGTCGGCTCCTAGAGAAGGGATGTAGATTTAGCCTAAGGAGAAGAACATTGTTGGGAGGAAGAGATTAGACTAATTGATATTCATTGCTTAATTTTTATTTTTGAGAATTACACGTATAACACAGACACTCACAACGCATGCACACTCACCCCTATGAACGTACGCTCGCAAACCCTACCCCCTATGAGTATCTTCGAAGACTAGGCCGAAAAATACTTGAGAGATTGAGGTTACTTGAGAGATTGAGGTACTTCGCTATCGACGGGTATGTCATCTACCACTGAAAGCACAACGCCGTTAAATCCTTGAAAATTCGCTCCCATGGGGAGTCGAACCTAAGACCTCAGGTGCTGCTGAGGCTCTTGTAACCACTAGGCTACAGGCACTTTCGCTATTCATTGCTTAATTGATAATAGATACAATCCCATCCTTATATAGATGGTACAACTTGACCCATAAGTAAGAACTTAATCTTATCTTATTTATAACTTAATTGGTATGGACTGCCTAAGGGCCTCTGCCTTCTAGCCAAATGCCCATAACATTTACAACGAGTGATCTCGGCAAATGCAGTAGAAGAAACTTTTTAAGAAAATGTACGTTTAGAAATGTGGATCAAATAATCTACGATAAGAATTCGATTAAGTGGCTGAAAAGATAATACCCAAGACGGATTCCGTGGTTGAACCGAATGTAGTGAACAGTACGCTATACTTTTATACTGTTCAGCGGTGGAGGCATGGGAAGGTGAGCAGGGGCTTGGCTAGTGATTGCAAATTCGGAATGAAATCCAACAATCTCATATCTCGTTCGAATTTTTTTCCTATTTTTATTTGTGAATTTGGTTAAAGTATATTCAAATTCATTCAAAATACTTTCAAATAATTTCAGCCAACAAAGTACCAAAATTTTGGTAATTTTGATACTCTCCACCAGCAAAAAAAACCCCATTTCAAAAATACAAACCCTAGGCTGGGCCCCTCCCATCATAGAGCGAACTAGAGTAAGGTGCCACTTACTTAATTTACACTAGAGTGAAGTGCACGAGCAGATCCTAAACTTGTGCGGGTGTGTCATCTAGATACTTGATACAAGTAACTTTAGTCTCTGCACATCGGATGTTTGGACATTAATTAGAAGTATTAAACATAAACTAATGACAACTCATTCCATAACCCTGGACTAATTCGCAAAACGAATCTATTGAGCCTAATTAATCCATGATTAGCCCATGTGATGCTACAGTAAATATGTGCTAATTATGGATTAATTAGGCTTAAAAAATTTTGTCTCGCGAATTAGCTCTCATTTATGCAATTAGTTTTGTAATTAGTCTATGTTTAATACTCTAAATTAGCGTCAAACATCTGATGTGACATGGACTAAAGTTTAGTCCCTAGATACAAACACCACCTAAATTTGGTGATGTGGAAAAAGAGAGGGGAGAAATGAGAAACATCGTTGCTAAGCATGATAAAGGCTTATAGTCGACTTTTAGCATTTATTAACGAAAAATTTGTTGCGCGAGGGTGGATAAAAGAAAAGAAGTATAACTAAAAATTATTAGTGCATTAATGATTTAAAATTTTTATTGTCTTTATTATTGTAGAAGGATAGTCTGTAGTGACATTAATTAGTATAGAGAACCCATATTAGACTATATGCTCCGTCCTGCTTTGCCTTGTGTTAATGTGTGTTGCCAGCTGGTACTCCTCAATCCTTGAAAAAAAAAAAGAAGTAGGTCTAGATACGCATGTATCAATTGTAGTAATATTGGATTATTTATGGAAAGAAGGGTAGCTTTCGACATATACATCAAAATAGAACTGCTTTCCGATCACGTGGCCATATTTTTCCAGGGTCAAGTTAGTTATTTCTACGGCGGCTCACTGTGTCTGGCGGCTCCGTGTGTGATCCGTGACATAGACAGAAAATTAAGAAGAATAACACGGTGTTCGTTTTTACCGAAGATGAAAATAAAGTTGAGAAAAAAGCAAAATATATTTATCTAATATTTTACAGTAATTTCTATATAGAAAGTTTACGATCGTCTTGCAGTTTAAAAAATATGAAAAAAAAGGATGTGAGATATATATTTTAATCAGAAAAGGATGGTGCCTTAAGATCAGTCCAAGTAGTGAACAGCATCCAGTTGCCATGGCAGTATATATATTTGCCTATTTATATTGCAACTTCAAGCAACTTCAAGCAAGTGTAGAAGTCTAAATCAACTTCAAGCTCCTCCCATATTGTGTCATGGAGGACAAGCTGCCGCTGGCTCTGACCGTACTGTCAGTGTCCGTGCTCATCGCCGTCGTCATCTCCAAGCTGGTATCATATGCCACCAAGCCAAGGCTCAACCTGCCGCCGGGGCCATGGAAGCTGCCGGTGATCGGCAGCCTCCACCACCTCGTGGGGAGCCACGCCATCCACCGGTCGATGCGCGCGCTCGCCGAGAAGCACGGGCGCCACCACCTCATGCAGATATCGCTCGGCGAGGTGTTCGCCGTGGTCGTGTCGTCGCCGGAGGCGGCGGAGGAGATCCTCAGGAACCAGGACGTCACGTTCGCCGACCGCTTCCTCAGCACCACCATCGGGGTGATCACCTTCGGCGGCAACGACATGGCCTTCGCGCCCTACGGCGAGCGGTGGCGGCAGCTCCGGAAGCTGTGCACGCTGGAGCTCCTGTCCGCCGCGCGGGTGAGGTCGTTCCGGCGCATCCGCGAGGAGGAGGTGGCGCGCCTGGTCCGGGACCTCGCCGCGTCCGCCGCCGCCGGCGAGGCCGTGAACCTGAGCGGCAGGATCGCGAAGCTCATCAACGACGTCGTCGTGAGGTGCTGCGTCGGCGGCCGGAGCGAGCACCGCGACGAGTTCCTCGACGCCCTCCGCACCGCGTTGGACCAGACGACATGGCTCACCGTGGCCGACGTCTTCCCGTCGAGCAAGCTCGCGCGGATGCTCGGCACGGCGCCGCGCAAGGCGCTCGCCAGCCGGAAGAAGATAGAGCACATCTTGGAGCAGATCATTCAAGAACGAAAGAGGATCATGGACAGGAGCAGCCATGGCGGCGACGGCGACGGCGAGGCGATGAACACGAGCGAGTGCTTCTTGGATGTCCTGCTGAGGCTTCAGAAGGATGGCAACACACCAATCCCAATTACTAACGAAGTCATCGTCGTGCTTTTATTTGTAAGCAATTGCGCCTCTGCACCACCAAACCTCTCCTCCCAACATTTTAGTTTCCAACAACCAAATAAAAATAGTTTTGCTATTTATCAACTACTCAATCCTTTCCAAAATATAACCATTTTTGGAATAATGCTAACTCAAATATTTTTTTACTTTAACTACCAATAGCCAAAAAAAATTAAAAAGATTGATCACGAAAGAGTGATGTTACTAGTAGATAAATATCTAATATGTAACTTTTCTTATTTAAATAACTTATTTTTATAAATATCATTAGTCAAATTAGCATTCTGAAGATTATATCTAAAAATTGTTATATTTTGGGACGGAGAATATCTAATCTATCGCCCACCTAGACTTACATGTATGATTAGTCTAAACTTGCATGATATAAAAGGTACAACTTTCATATGCATATCGAGATGGTAACTTTATATTCCTTTTTTTATATTTCGAAATAACATACATATATTTTATTATTCTAATCAAGATATGTCGTTATTCTAATCAGGACTATAATTATTCTATTTTATGTTGGTAAGGATCACACTAAAATGTGGCCTTTTGACTTTAAGTTAGTTCTTTATTTTAGTTGTTAGATGAAGATGTAATGATTTTTTTAAAAAAAATAATGTACATATATATGGGAAAAATAAGTCAATTGGCAAATAGACTCAACTTCACTCTCTAGAGTAGCTTGATACATAGAATCGCACATATGCATGCAGTTACACTTAGGCTGTGTTCGGGACACCGGCACGCAAAACGAAGCACTCATTGTTGGACGATTAATTAAGTATTAACATTTTTTTTGAAAAATGAATTAATTATTTTTAAAACAACTTTCATATAGAATTTTTTTGCAAAAAAACACACCGTTTAGCAGTTTAAAAAGCGTGCGCGAGGAAAACGAGAGAGTTGAGTTGGGAAAAGTGGGATAAGAACTCAGCCTTAGTGAGGTCAAAGCGATATTAACGCGGTTAGAGATTTATCCTTGGTCAAATAGGGTTCACAATCCTGATACTAGATCAAAATCCGCTCACAAGCGATATCGTCAGATTTCATAGAAATTACTGATAAACCAACAAAAAAGATAAAACCCAAATATTGTTTTATCAAAAGTTTAAAATAGTTTAATATTTTTTAACTTCACCAAAATACCACCGAGTGGTTTATATTTTCAACCCGGTCTAGGAAGTCTGGATTTTGCGAAATCCAAACCGCATTCAACTGGAACTGTGAACCCTATTCAACTGGAACTGTGAACCCTGTACCCTCTTTGATGGTGTATTAAGAAAGCATACTTGCATGTGTTAGGAGTGTAACATTGGTATCCGTCTATTTGAGTGTGTTGTAAGTATGAGTCACATAGTGCTTCATTTTTTAATGCACGATGCCGTTGAATTTTTTAATATCATTTGTCTTATTCAAAATTTTTGTGCAAACATAAAAAAAATATGAGTCATGCATAAAGAATCTTTAGTGGTAAATCAAGCCACAACAAAATAAACAATAGTTACAAACATGTCTAAAATGTTAATGGCGTCGTATATTAAAAAATGGATGGAGGAAATCATTAAAGGAAATGCAAGTTGCACATAACAATGGAAGCTTAGCTGTGCAAGTTTAGGTTGGATATGGCGACCAACAATATCAAAATTGTGCTAGTAATAAATCATAATGCTGTACGGATAAATTCATTCGGTTGTGGTGATATTTATTTATAAGCTACAGACGTTCTTTTCCCCTATTTCAATTTGGCTAGCTGGAACTCTTCTAATTAGGCCCTAAGTTTTTAAAGAACAAACTATGTCATGCTGAATCATAAAAGGTAAGAAAGCATTAATTCTAGTCTGGCCAAACATATAAGTTCTCAAAATTAAGCAGCAATGTATGTAGTGCAGAACTCTAAGTTCTCTAAGTTTAGGTATATTGAGTAAATGTAGGGTATGTTATGTAAATTTATATAACTGAAAGATAAATAGTTTCTAATTACCATAATGAATAATAATTTGTGTGACAATACCATTCCAGGACATGTTTTCAGGGGGCAGCGAGACATCATCTTCCACATTAATCTGGACAATGGCAGAACTCATCAGAAAACCAAAAGTAATGGCAAAGGCTCATGTTGAAGTGCGGCAAGCTTTCCAAGGAAAGAACACCATCACAGAGGATGACGGTGTAAACGAGTTGACCTATCTCAAAATGGTGATTAAGGAGTCATTGAGGATGCACTGCCCAGTGCCCCTTTTAGGCCCTCGTAAATGCCGAGAGACATGCAAAGTTATGGGCTACGACATACCGAAAGACACAACTGTATTTGTGAATGCATGGGCAATATGCAGAGACCCAAAATATTGGGATGATGCCGAAGAGTTTCAACCAGAGAGGTTTGAGAACAAAAGTATCGACTTTAAAGGAAGTAACTTTGAATTCCTTCCATTTGGATCGGGCCGTAGAATGTGTGCGGCTATGAACCTTGGCATTGCAAATGTAGAGCTCCCCTTAGCTAGCCTTCTGTATCATTTTGATTGGAAGTTGCCTGATGGAATGATGCCTGAAGATGTTGACATGCAGGATGCACCTGGAATACTTGTAGGTAAACGCAGTAGCCTAATTATGTGCCCGGTTACACGTGTTGCTCCAAGCAACCCACAAGTGATAGCATCATAGATAACTCATCCTTTGTGGTAGATAATAACTTGAACGGTTTGTACTGGTGTGTAATCAAGTTTTGTATCAAATAATTAAGGTGTAATGGAAGACGGATTTACATAATTTGGCTCCCATGTAGACAAAGGGCAGAAGACCAGTCATTACACTATTATCAGCCCCGTTGTTTCGTTATGCTACTTATGGCTATCTGAATGTCTTATTAGCAACTAAAAAATAATTTGCGAGAAAAACTTTTACATACATGTCCTTAGCGATTAAAAAAAATGTTGTAAATTAAACTATGATAAAATAAACTTCAAAAAGAAATTTTAAAATTAAAATTTGGCTTATAAGTACAATCATAAACGAAACAATGAGGGTTATATGTCACTACATGATCTAGTTTGAGAAAGAGATAATGTTTGCGTTCTCGACTGGAAGTTGGCAATCATGAAGGGGTTGTCTCAGCAGCCTTGGCAGGTAGCCGTTGGTCCAAGCAGTCGTGAGAAAGGTTGCTTTAATGCCTGCTTCAAGTGTACGAGCACGTCTCTGAGACATTAGCATATTAAGAGTTTCAGTCCTAGCCCATCATGGCCCATGAATGTGCCATGATTTGGGGTGTCAAAGGAGGCGGTGGCCGGAGCACGAGGGAGGGACGCCTCTCAGGGTGGAGATGACCACAGACGACGAGGATGACCTGGGGGAGGGAGAGAAATATGAGGAGAGTTATTTGTGGATAAGGATTCGGCCTCAGATTTGAAATTAATTTCTTTCAGTGGGAGACAGTATTTTAACCTTTAGGGGGGTGATAGACACCCAATTGCAACAGCTCTGGAGTGCTCCTTGCCCCCTAAAAATTAAACACTTCATCTGGTCAGGTTTGAGAGATAGAATTCAAGCCTCATCTAACTTAGCAAAAAAAGGGTTGGAATGGTTCAGCCCTGTGCTTACTCTGTGGGGAGCTAGAAAACAACAGACCATATCCTTTTTAGATGCCCTATGGCTACTTTTGTTTGGTGTTTGCGTAGAGATGTGCTGGGTTGGGGACAGATCCCTTTCAACTTCGATGATTTTTTCTGTTTAGCTTAACTTAGAACTGTTTTCAAACACATGAATGTTAAATTGGCGATGCTTGCTGCTGTTAGTTGGACACTTTGGATTACTAGGAATAACATGGTTTTTGCGAGATAAAATAGCCTACTCCCCACTAATGCTCCCTTTCCAAATCACTTCTTTCTTAATGTAGTGGAAACCACTTGTTGGTAACTTTTTGTGACAAGTTGACAAGCACGATCGCAGCACCGAAACGCCTTGCGGTGATATGGAGTCGTCAACCACCTCGATCTAGCCAAAAGGCCAAATCAAGATGGGTTTTGCAAAAAGAAAAACTAAACCGGCTAGCGGAGCCGATTTAGAGATCAAAATCAGCCTCTAGGCCAATTTAGATCGATATGAGGATAACTACCCGTCTCGTGGGCAAATCGGAAGGTTTTCAGGACAAACCTACAAAGAAGTGTCGCACTCTCGCAGCGGCGGCGGACAGTTTACAGCGCAAACCGACAAAGATAGACTAAATTAGGGTAAAATAGAAAACATGGTAAAAGAACGATTCAAGTAGATTATATTCGGGGGTTTTACAATGAACCGGCCTTGTCCCTTAAATAGGGGTTGGTTTTGCCCTCTACAGGCCCTTCTCCACATCCAACTCAGGATAGAAACCAAAGGAAACACGAAATATAGCCTTTCCGAGCAAGGAAACCCGAGACCCGACGAAAATAACTCGGACTCGGACCCTGACAGTCTAACCGCCCACATACCTGCAGTCTGACTGGCCCTGTGAAGGAAACCCGGTACTTTCCAAACTTTGACAATTTTCCCCTATTTCGTTCATAGGTGTCAAATTTGGATGTAAACACCACTTTTCAAAGGTGTGGAGACTGATGAACTGGAGTTGCTGACAAGAAGACTGAAGGAATGTTGTGCTGGACTGTGAAATATCAGAACTGGGGTGTGTTAGTTAGAGTTTTTTTGCCGTCTGTTACTTTGTGGAGGTGTTTTGGAAAGCTTTTTAAATCGCTGTGTCTGGTGTATCTTCACTTATGGGTCATGTGTTGTCCCTGCTGTCTAAAAATTGGTTGTTTCTCTGGGCCGGAGGGACCTCTTTTGGTCTATGTATGTACATTGATGTAAGCTGGAATCCCCAGCAAGACAAATTTGCTTTCTATATAAGCAGGGTCGTTTCGACATTTTCTCTAATAAAAAAGCTTTGAACATTCATCCTGGATATCGGTTTTAATATCTAAAAGAAAACCAGTATCAGTCTGTAGAAACAAATAAAAAATCAATTATTAGTTGGTCAGATGCAAACCTATACGACTCAATTAGGAATTTAGGAACAGCGAGCCCAGCGTCATTTTGACCGCCACTCCAAACATGATCAATCCTACCGTAAAAAATAATATTGTTTTCATTTTTTTTACTGTATAATTTAGTTTTATATTTTTTCTTTTTATTAAGTTGTCACTAAATAACTAAATTTATAAATATAAAAATATCCCGACTATATACCAATATAGTTCTAAAAAGAAAAAGAAAGTATTATTTCTGATAATTTTCATCCTTACTTGTTCCTGGTTTACTTCCATGTCAAGAGTCCGAGTTATTTGAGATGAGTCCTTTAAATCATTGAAGGACTCAAGGACGACCTTTTGTTCCTGTAAATTTTCCTTCCTGCCGGCAGCATGGGCTAACCACGTGAGGGGCGACCGTGTATCGCGATATGGATATAACGTATGGGACTATCTATGAATATTTTTCGGGTATGATATATGATATATATGTATCGCTATATTTGCAACCTGGTGTGTTCGGTAACGAGGGATGGGTAGTAAGGGATGGGAACTAATCTTGCCGCACGGAAAATAGAGCGGTCTATTAGCGCGATTAATTAAGTATTAGCTTTTTTTAAAAAAAATGCATCAATATGATTTTTTTAAGCAGCTTTCGTATAGAAAGTATTTTCAAAAAATGAATCGTTTAACCGTTTGAAAAGTGTGCCCACGGAAAAAGATGAGAGTAGAGTCCCAACTCCTTTTGCCCTGTTGTTGTTATTACCCTTTTTTTTCGCATGATAGCTACATACAACTTATATAAATATTAAATCGAACATTAGAAAAATAATTTATTGGATCCAAAAGCTGAGATCCCCATACTGCTAGAAAAACCAATCCTATTATCTAAGATCCCCATATTGCTTGGAATAAAACGATCCATAACCAAAAGCCCGATACGATCCCATCCGCCCGATACGATGGTGCGGTATGGTGGGGCGAATGGGCGAGGAGTTCCACGGCGCGCGTGGATCGGTGGATGGAGCTATGCACATGGTGTGTACGTGCAACGTATTCGCACGGGAAGGCGCCGTGTTCCGCGGTCGGGTTGCCACACCTCTTCGACTTGCACAACATCGATCAAGTTCGCCACGCACTTGCCAATTAAATTTGCCATGGCCTTTTCTGCCTATTTATATCAGAAAACCTAGACAATGATATCCCGTTGGACGGGATACCCTTCTATGAGACAGTACCTGATACCTGTTGTGGTATAGCTACATGGTACCCGATAACTGTGATATATGTTACCCAGTACCTGTGATACCTAGGATCTAATACCTATAATACTCGTGCAAGAGAATAGTTAATATGTCTATCCCGTTACAACGGGATCCTGTTTTGTAGCAGCTCTCTATTTATATATAGTACCCCAGTATGCTGCAACTTCTACGTACTCTGTAAGGTAGCCAGCTGCTCGATTTCGCACGTACTGTGTCATGGACGACAAGCTGCTGCAGCTGCTGCTGCTGGCTCTGGCCGTGTCCGTCGTCTCCATCGTGACCATCTCCAAGCTGGTATATCGTGCAACCAACAAGCCGAGGCTGAACCTGCCGCCGGGGCCATGGACGCTGCCGGTGATCGGCAGCCTCCACCACCTCGTGATGAGGAGCCCCAGCATCCACCGCTCGATGCGGGCGCTAGCCGAGAAGCACGGCCCGCTCATGCAGGTGTGGCTCGGCGAGGTGCCCGCGGTGGTCGTGTCATCGACGGAGGCGGCGGAGGAGGTCCTCAAGAACCAGGACGCCAGGTTCGCCGACCGGTTCATCACCACCACGCTCGGGGCCATCACCTTCGGCGGCGGCGACCTCGCCTTCGCCCCCTACGGCGAGCGGTGGCGCCACCTCAAGATGCTCTGCACGCAGCAGCTGCTGACCGCCGCGCGGGTGAGGTCATTCCGGCGGATCCGCGAGGAGGAGGTGGCGCGCCTGGTCCGGGACCTCGCCGCGTCCGCCGCCGGCGGCGGCGAGGTCGCCGTGAACCTCAGCGAGAGGGTCGCCAGGCTCGTCAACGACATCATGGTGAGGTGCTGCGTCGGTGGCCGGAGCAAGCACCGCGACGAGTTCCTCGGCGCGCTCTGCACCGCCCTGAGCCAGACGTCGTGGCTCACCGTCGCCGACCTCTTCCCGTCGAGCAGGCTCGCGCGGATGCTCGGCACGGCGCCGCGCAGGGCGCTCGCCAGCCGGAAGAAGATGGAGCTTATCTTGGAGCAGATCATACAAGAACGAGAGGAGATGACGACGGACAGGAGCGGCGATGGCGAGGCGGGGCCCACAAACGAGTGCTTCCTCGACGTCCTGCTCAGGCTTCAGAAGGAGGGGGACACACCAATCCCAATTACCATGGAACTCATCGTCATGCTTTTATTTGTAAGCAATTGCCTCCTCACTCCCAACCCCCTCACAACAGCATCCAACAACTAATTGAATTTTGAGTGTGGAAATATAACTATGGATGTAAATTTGGACCGGTAGTTATTCAGATCCATACCTATAAAAACCTTATATTTTGAAACGGATGAAGTATTATTCTTTACGTAGGTCGTCTGTTTTTTTTTCTTACTACATGTTAGTCATATCAAAATGAGAGAATCCATTATATGCCATTGACTTTGTCACACGTCTACGATTTGCCACTGACTTTGCCATGTTCTACAATATGCCATCGACTTTTGCTTAGCTTCTACAATTTACCATCGCCGTCCGGTTAGCCTTCGTTAGCACTTTACAATTTTATCCAAATGACCAAAATACCCCTGGGACAAAAACATCCAAAATTTGGATAAAATTATCAAAATATTATATTATAAACATAAGATTGTAAACATCCAAAATTTGGTCAAAAACTTAAAATCTAATATTTCAGAATTTTTATCCAAATTTTGAAAGTTTTTGTCCCAAGGGTATTTTGGTCATTTCGACAAATTTGTACAGTGCTAACGGAGACTAACCGGACGGCGATGGTAAATCGTAGAAGTTAAGCAAAAGTCGATGGCATATTATAGAACATGACAAAGTTAGTGGCAAATCGTAGACGTGTGATAAAGAACAAAAGTTGACATGTAGTGTCCCGTGTCCAGTAGCAAATTTCCATACTTTAAGAGTGTCTTCTCTAGAAAATCACTTCGTGCAATGTTTTTATTTATAAGCTAGGCGATATCTTTTTTCCCCTACTCTCTTGAAGTTACTATTTCAGATAGAAAATTGTTTTGGCAGCTAGTTTGGGAGATCAGCTGCCTAGCTTGAACTGTAATAATTGGGGTCTAATTAATCTTTTTCTATGAAAAAATGAGACTTTGGCCAAATCCCATTTTTAATCTTGGGATACATAAAAGAGCATCAAGTTGGACAAATGCAATCACATACTTTAAAAAAAAACTTCTTGGTGAAGGTCCACTAAAGCAGCACTGTTTGTAGAACTCTAGTTTAGATATGTTTGTGTAAATATTGAGTATGTTTTGTATAACTTTATATATAACTAAAATATAAATAATTTTTAATCATCGATAAATAATAGCTTGTGTGCTAATATTGTTTCAGGACATAGTTTCGGGGGGCACAGAGACATCAACTATCGTACTAAATTGGACTATGGCAGAACTCATTCGTACACCAAGAGTAATGACTAAGGCACATGCTGAGGTGCGGCAAACTTTCCAAGCAAAAAGCACCATCACAGAGGATGATGATATTAGTGGGTTAACCTATCTCAAGATGGTGATTAAGGAGTCATTGAGGATGCACTGCCCGGTGCCCCTTTTAGGCCCTCGTCGATGTCGTGAGACATGCAAGGTAATGGGCTATGACATATTGAAGGACACAACTGTATTTGTGAACGCATGGGCAATGTGCAGGAGCTCAATATACTGGAATGATGCCGAGGAGTTTAAGCCTGAGAGGTTTGAAAACAAATGCATAGACTATAAAGGGAGCAATTTTGAATTCATTCCATTTGGATCTGGCCGTAGAATGTGTGCAGGCATGAATCTTGGCATGGCAGATGTAGAGTTTCCCTTGGCAAGCCTTCTTTACCATTTCGATTGGAAGTTGCCCGATGGAATGTCTCCTGAAGATATTGACATGCAGGAGGCACCTGGACTATTTGGAGGTAGACGCACTAGCCTAATTCTATGCCCTATTACGCGTGTTGCTCCAAGCGACCTACAAGTGATAGTATAATAGATTACGCATCCTTTGTGATACCTAATAGATCATGAACATTTCGTGGTACAATCAAGTTGCATATCAAATAAGGGGAAGTGTATCCTCTGTTGAGTCACTGTCTTACTCTGCCGACATGTCATTGGCACAATTGCAAACTGCACTAAGTATTCAGGAAGCCTCATCCCAAATATAGGTGTCCCATGTTATCAAATTAGGTGTTATGAAAGATGGGTCTCCATAATTTGGTTTCCATGTATCATGAATGTTTCGTGGTATAATCAGATCGAATATCAAATAAAGTGTTATGAAAGATGGGACTGCATAATTTGGTTCTCACGTTAACAAGGCCAATCAGGAAAGATAACTTATTACGGTGGTGTTCTTTTCTCTTGAAAATGAAGATTAAGTTTTTTACGCAAAATAAGGTGATATTAACGTATAATTGATTGAGTTTTAATTATTACAAACTTGAAAAATAGATTAATATGATATTTTAGAGAAAACTTTCATATAGAAAGATTTTGCACGAAATGCACTGTTTTGCAGTTTGAAAAGCGTGCCACGAAAATCTTAATATTCATCCAACTCTGGTTGGAGAAAAGAACGGGACTAAGATTCAGATTTTTACCTCGGTTTTCGTTAGCATGCGATTCAAATTTTACATTGTTTCTGTTAGCACGTTTTTCAAACTAGTAAATGGTGTATTACGTGAAAAGTTTTCTATATAAAAGTTGCTTTAAAATATCAAATATATCCATTTATCAAATTTATAATAGTTAGAACTTAATTAATCATAAGCTAATGATTTTCTCGTTTTACGTGCGCCACCTTTATTTTCATCGGTTTCAAACACCACCTAATACTTCCAACACAAGTTTAACAAACCGTTTGAGATGGGGTTACCACCACCGCATGGTTTGATGGTTACCAGTAGGGGTGAAAACGGTACGGCAACGAACGGAATCCACCTTTATCATTTTCGTTTTCATATTTTTTTCGGAATCGAAATCGGAATCGGAAACTCCGGATACGAAAATGGAATCAAATATTAGCAAAACCGAAAACGAAGCGAAAACGACCGGCGCGAATACAGTAACGAAAATTTATCAGAATACAAAAACCCCTCAAACTGATAAATCCAATTCTCAACTCTCAACGGTCAACAATTCATCATAAAACATAATCATATAAGTCCAATTTTTAAGTCTCAACAGCACATTACAAAACACAATCTATGAAATAAATTATCTATGTTTAAAAGAGTAATGCTGTTGATAAATCCTAATGCAGGAAAAAAAATATTCTTATGCAACTTCAGATTTGCATAACAAATATTTTGATAAAAAAATAACAGCCAAACAACATGGTATTCACTATTCAGTGCTTAAAAAAAATCCAGGGTATTTCAGTCATAAAATTTCCGGAAATTCCGAAAAAATTTCCGGAAAGTTTTCAACCGATTCCGAGTTCCGACGGAAACTGCCCTTACCGTTTCTAAGAAAATATTTCTGAATTCGTTTCCGTTTCAAAAAAAATTCCAACCGACAGATTCTGTTTCCGAAAATAGGTCCGGAATATAAAAAATTTTCTGTACCGTTTTCACCCCACCGGGGTGGCGCATGGTTTAGCCGTAATTTTAAGAACTAAAAAGATTACCGCACGTTATAACCATTCGGTTTTCTAAACCCTGATGTGCAGGCGTAGACGTGTTCGATTTGCGATATTGTAAAGCAGAACTTTTTGTCCGGCAACACATCAGAGTTGTCTTGCATTTCTTTAGAAGGGCCTTGTCACCGGGAACAGTTCCTATCAAAAAGGGTGATAAGCAGTTGATCACATATTCAGTCATCATTACGATGCAACTATTCGGACCGAGATTCATCCAATACGCCATAATGTTACAGGAAACGAACTAATGTAGCTGCTCCACTATTACGAATTTGATCGAACGGCTGAACGGCTCCAGATTCACCTCACACACTTGTATGCCAACTCGATCTTTGCCACCCATCACTAGTCTGCTAGTTTGGGAACTTCATTTTGTACTGCTGAGCAGTCTGAAAAGAGAAAAGATCTCAATCAAAATAAGCAACACGATATGCAAAAACAATACCAGGATGATGTTATCCCCTTACCATAAAGGTCGCTGTAATCATCTTTCCTGCGAACCATCTACCATGCAGTGCGCGTTGAGCAGCTGTCGCAGCTGCTACACTGTCGAAATGAAGGTACACAAAGCCAGCAGTATTTCTGTGCAATAATAGCCGATGTTAGATTTTCTTTTTTTAAAAAAACAAGGTTAGACGATTCCAAGTTGGAAACGAACAGCCAGCACAATATGAACCATTCTGTAGGCTTGTTGATAGGCATTGCCCATTTGTACCCAAAGTGATTGAATCTACCACAGTTTTAGTGCAATAAAAATGAACCTTTACAAACTATAGACAGCCTTCCAAGTATATTAGAGAAAGCCCAGAGCCCACAAAAAGCTTAGTAAATTGATAAATCTAACAAGATTACAGGAACCCTTGGGTGGCATGGATGACATGTGAGCATTTGTGCAAAATAAATGGTCATATTAGTCAAATCATAGGTGTTAAAGATAAACATGGTATGCTTATCCTAATACGATTAAGATTCGCCAAAAAAAGTAAACCAGTTACTTACTTGTCAACAAAAATGTGATTTACTGCACCAAACTTTGAGCATTCATCCTGGACATCATCTTTAATATCCAAATCAAAATCAGGATCTGTCTGTTAAAAATGAACATTCAATTAGTCGGTCAGATGCGAACATATACAATTGATGAACTGAAACTAAAACAAATAACATTTTGAATCATACAATAAAGAAATGTAAAGTGGCCATCTAAATTGAAGGAACAGAGCGATAAACTAAAACATAAATATATAAATACCTCCACTGCAGGGTCAAACATGTTCTTCAGCAATAGAAACTCAGTAGGTGAACCAATATCTGCAGATTGAGTACCAGGAATTTGTATGCCAGGAACTGTTCCAATAGCAGGTATTGTTGGTTGTATGAGTGAAGTGGTTGGCAGAGGAGCACCAGTAACCGATGCAGACGGTAACTCAACAGATGTGTTCACACCAGGAATACCAATACCACCAGTTATGCTGCAGATAAACACAAAAGAAATTATCAAAGGAGATTCAGTGAATGGAATTTTCAATGAATGTGAGGTATAACAGTACTACAAAAATAAGAATGTTTCCATTAAACCATGAAGAATGGTCTTGACAAAACTACTATACATGAATCCTGCCGATAGGGCAGTAGGTGCTATCAAGTATCAACATTTATGATTCAACATTCATGATTGCACATATAACTCCAGCAGAGAGATCTAGGATCTCACCATCTCAATCTGCACGTGTCTCAATTTTTATCCTAATCTACTCAACATTTTTCACAGAATTTTAAAATATTGGGCTTAGTTCACATAAGATCAGCTTTAGGATCAACCCATTCCTCAAATCAGATACCCCATAGAGTTTTAGACATGATAAGATGAATCAAGACAGCAGCTGGTCCCCTCATGAAAAATGAAAAAACATATCACAAGGATAGCAAAAGCAGGAAAAGCGCGTAGTAACAAATAAGATACCTGGTTGCAGTGCCACTCCGGTCCAATTTACGCATCAGCATAGCTCTAGAGCTTGCATTTAATGCCTGCACATATTTAATTAAAATATGAATACGCAAATAAAAAATGTGATGTGTATAGCCCAGCATATTTCCTGGTTTTCCCATACAACATAATGAGTACACAGTTAGCAGCAATAAAAAGATGTGGCTGCAACCTCAAAATTATAGTGACCAAGGGATAACCTAAACATACAGCTGGCAACCCACCTTCCTATGGTCAAAAACTCAAAATAAGCATTTGAAGAGACTTAAAAGTTAAACCATCACTATATTAGCATGTTATTGTTTCAAAAACACTGGTAGGTATAAGCAGAGAACAAAGAAGGGGCATCACAATCATATTCTAGGAGACTAATATCAGTAAGTGATCTGAACTGGTACATATTGACAACCTAAGCAAAGATGCCATGCTGTTATTAGTACAGTTATACTTCCATAAAAAAGCAAAGATGCCATGCCACAATTATTAATAATGTTGTACTTCCCAAAAGGATAAACATCAAGAAAAACATAGTTCATGTAAATTACTGTTTATGTCGAAATGAGAATAGCTATTGCACAACAAAAAAAAAATACTTCCAGGAAAGAGTTACTCAATAAATATTTTTTTTTCACGACACCCATTGTAGAATTAGCATTTGGTAGAATGTGCAATATAAAACACTTTTAACCACAAAATGCCTCATCCGTCTCAGCTCTATATTTTTGCCACACTAACCCATTCCTATTGTAGAGCAAGTACTATTTGGTGTAAAGTGTAATATATGAGCAAAAGATATAAAATTGCAGACAGTTTAAACTCTGAGCAATTTTTAACTCCATGGAAATATTTGTATTAGGTAAAATAAACTTAGCAAGTGTGAGCCCAAACCATAAAATTGTAGTTAAAAATTCTCTGCATACTCCCAAATTTTCAAAAGAAAGGAGCTATAAAATATGATAAATCCATTTACAAAAGACTGTACAAGAGGAAAGAAGTGGAAAGGATTGGAAAACATACCAAACCTCCACCTTCATCATCATCTAAATCTCCCGTAGTTGCACCCCCAACTTGCAAACCAGCTTGCTCAGTAACAGCCGAGACCTGATTGAAACAAATACTTGTCAGATGGATTCTTAGCATGTTCCAAATCTTTGAGCTATACTATATACATATTAAGAAATTTACCTTAATTACTCTTCCAGCAATATCAAGCTGACCATTTAAACTCTGAGCAGCTTTTGCATCTTCAAGCCGTGCGAACTGCAAAACAAAATAATTAGCATTACAGGGTTTCATGGTCAGATGTTCAGAGCCTCAAGGCATATATGGAAACTTGCCTGGATGAAACCGAAACCTTTACATAGCCCGGTTAGTGGATCTACCGGCAGCTGGACAAGCTCCACTTGCCCAAATGGTTCGAATACCTGAAATGGAGTATTCATTACCACATATAACAAGATGCACATTAAAAAAGTGTACAAGCATCAGCTATGGTACTTCAGACAAAAAGTCAAAATCTAGCAGCATCTTTCTCAAAGGATAATATTAATATTCAGGACGTCCAACTACTGTTGTTCACTAAGGAACTTCAAATAAGTCCCACTTCAATACTTCATGTACAATTGGTTGACAAAAATACCACCTTTTATCTCAGAGCCAACAATTATTTACATAGAATTGTTTTATTCGAGGTGAAAAGAAGAAACAAAATTTGCATACATTGCAAACTTGTTGCAACTAGCAATTGAATGAAAATTTTAGAAGATTGTTTTCTCAACATGAGGTACTTTATCACAAGTTATTTATTTCAGGACAATTTTGGTGAATAATTTGGGGAACAGCAACCAGTTTGAGGAAGACAAAATGGCTCTAGGATCACTTTTCAGTGGCACAGCAATGTTATTTCAAACTAGTGTTATAAGCAAGTTAGACATTAAGTACTTAAGCTGTGCCTATATTAAAATGAATAACCAAAGAAACCACGTACACCTAAATGAGATAGCAATGACACAAAAGAAACCACGCACATTAATTCAATTTTGTCATTATTTTACTATGTTTTCTCATCTACAAACTGGGAAAGCAATGTATCACTGTTTGTGCTAAAAGATTCAGTGGTTCACCTGTCTCAATTGATCCTCAGTGATATTGGAATGTAGGTTGCCAACATACAACTTTCTTGCTCCACCTGAAGCTATTCCACCTGATGCCACGTTTGACTGAACTAGATTCTTTTCAGCCTCTGAGGGCTTAACCATCACTTGTTGCCCAAGAAGCACCTGACCAGTTAGAGCTATCGCCATTGGAACAGACATAGCATCATAGAACTCAATGTACCTGCCATGTTATATAGATCTTTAGTACTCGTATCAGAGTATCCAACTAAAAACTGTCAAGGAAGTACATTTTATAAGTAGTCTCATATATGTTAGTCTTTTTTTCATAAGCTCGCAGAAACTTAGAAATTTGGATTAAACTTTTGTGTGCAGCAAACTTTTAAATTTCGTTCTTGGGCATCCTCGTTATTTCCTAAAAACCTGCACCAATTGTTTTGTCAAATAATCTGGAATCAAACTGTCCAAGATTGCTGACGGCATCAGAATGATCTAATATTCCATCTTACTTGTAACTGTCGACAATCCCAGCAGGTAGACCAAATTATAAATATTTCAGTGTGCAATCCTGTTGAGTATGACAAACTGATGAAAAATGTTCCCCAAGAAAAAAAATCAATTACGAACTATATAAGTGTTTATGCAATTATACAACCAGAAATAGATCAAAAAACAAAATGTAGTAGAGTCTGATAAGTAATATTCAAAACAAAAAAAAACTACCAATCAATTAGATTTCCAAAGAGAAATTTAAACAAAATAAATTGTCTATAAAAAGCTTTTCAGGAGACATTTGTCGTAGTAACCAAATTTATCCTATAGCATTAACTCTAATAAGCTAAACCAGACTAGACAAAGCGTGTACAAAATTGCAATTTAATGTATACTCAAGCAAGGCATACCATTTGGAAGTTGAACTGGCACGTGCCCAGGCTACAAGTAGATTTTGATTGAAGCACACTTGTTTTTTTTTTTGAGTTATGGTTCTCTTGCCAAGAGCAGGCATAGATCTGGGTAATCCTAGTTGACATAGCAATGCTACTGTTGCTTGTGTAATGATATTTGTTTGCAAGTGTGCACTTGTTCCAAATTAGCACACTTAAGCGTGAAACATGTATCTACCACTGCTGGTGGCTTCAATATGCTTCTGAGCTTTTACAAGAAAACATGCATCACGATTGTAACATGCTTATTCGAAAGCTCCTGATACTCCCCAAAAGTTCCATCAAACGACAAATTGGTGATATTGTGTGCTCAAACTGTTTGATTATTGTCTTTTCTAATGTCATATTTGCTATGTTCAAAGTATTTTGCATGTGTTATGGAAGCAAGGAGTCATCCATGACTAACAACAATCCTATGGCCGGGTCAAAATTTTAGCCCACATATTCTGGAAGTCGAATTGTTAAAGTCAAAGAACACATGTACATTCTAGAAAAAACATCCAGTGAAAGGAATGTACAATTGTACATCAGAGCAAATAAAGAGGTACCAAGAACTCACCCAACTCCTTTGGAACGCCGCGAGTTCCTGTCCATAATAAGGCGAACATCACGGACCTTCACAGAAGAGTAAGAGCAATCATTAGATGCTTGGATAAAAGTTTAATACAACCAGAAATCTTAACAATCACATAATTTCAACACAAGTGATGAGTCAATAATAAACAAGTGAAAAACACAATGTCTGTCAATTTCTCATATGTAATGTAACTATATTAACAAAATAATTAATCAGTCCAAGCCTATGTCATAAATTTGAAGTTTCGGTGTTCATCAATGCTATGCACATAGATAAAAATATTGTAAGATGGGAACAGTTTCAAATCAGAGCAGTGTGATGTAAACATGTTCTCACCTTCCCTGCTCTTGAGAAGAACTCATAGACGTCTCTTTCATCTGCCTTCAAAGATAGCTACAGTAATGCCGATGAACATTAGCATAATGCATAAAGAAGAAAAATAAAAAAGTTACTTGTGAAACCAACCTGGAAGGCAAATACAGTCCTTTGATCTCTTTCTGGATCAGCTTCTGGCTCTGCACCGTCATCTTTCCTACGTCTGCATATAAAAAAGGAACTTGAGAAAAGAGAAAAGCAGCATAATCAACACATCAAAGGATGATGAATAAAAAATATCAAAATTACAGATGGCATAATCATTGCCTATCAGAAACCCTTGATAAGCACAAAAAAAAATCAGTTATCTAAAAATCTCTCAACGTAGTAGGCTAGCAGCCAGGCCCAGTTGCTAGCTTATAAATGCATCACAAGAAAGAAAAATTGAAGATTCATGACCTGATATCCTTAGTCAGGACCAATTGCCAAGACCATCTGAAGACTGCCCTAGCGAATTGTATCTGCGAGTCCCACATTCATGTTCAATATTCAAGTTTGACAAACCTAGATGATATAATGACAGTAAGCTACATCAGACATTTAGAAGCTATGCAGATCACCAGAGATAGAACCATCGCTATGTTCCATGTGTACACAAAGAACAGGCAAAACCAAATTCAACACATAATCACTAACTTTTCGATAAAAAAATTGCGTGCATTCAATAAGTAACATCCTATACCCATCTCACACAACTTTAATCACTTTAAGTATCCCCAAGAAAAATTAACTATTTGATAATGCAATCCATAGCTAACACAAGATAAAACCCCTATTGAAACACATAAATTTCACAGGAATTCGATAAAAACCATTAAATTACACAAGGGCCTAGGGGTTTCTACTAAAGCAAATCACATCAACGATTCTATCATATTCCAGGTGTTGCAATAGATATTCCAGATGTTGCAATAGAGGTGTTGCAATAGAGAGGTTGGGGAGTTGAGAAATTCTCACCTAACATCGCGGTCACGGTAGTCACGGTTGCGGTCGCTGCGTTCGCGCTCCTTCTGGAGCTCCCTCACCATCTCCTCCTCCTCCGTGCGGCGACGCTCAGGGCGGCTGCTGCTTCTTCGTTCCCTCCCGCTATCCCTCTCCCTGCGCCTGTCCCTCTCGCTGTCCCTGTCCCTGTCCCTGTCCCTGCTCCTATCCTTCTCCGCTTCCTTGCTCCTATCCTTCTCCCCATCCTTGCCCCTATCCTTCTCCGCATCCTTGCCGCGGCTGCGGCTGCTCCTCTCCTTCTCCTTCCCGTCATCCCGATCCCGGTGCTCCCGGCCGCCGCCGCCGCCTCGGTGCCGGTCACGGTCCCGGTCCCGGTCCTCCCCGGAGCGTGAGCGCTTCGACCCGCGCTCCTCGTCGTCGCGGCCGCCGCCGGAGGAGCGCCGGCGGGAGCCGGCGCGGTCCTTCTCGCCGGAGCCGTTGGTCGACGGCGCGGAGGGCTCGACCGTCTTCTCTAGGTACTCGTACTCGTCGAACTCCATGGCGGCGCCGCTCGTCGACTCGCGTGGAGACCTGGATTTGGTGGGGGGGAGAAGAAGCAGAAACCCTAGAAGGAGCGCTCGACGATCGAAACGTAGCGGATGTTGGAAGGGGAAAGATAAAACCCTGTAAATCAATTGGACTCCTTGCTTTGAAGATTAAAAGCCCACCAAACAAGGCCACATATTCTTTTAGATGGGCCTCAATGCCTCTCATATATCAAAGCATTTGAGCATTGTACATTATTACGAATTATTACGAAAGACGACCGGTGGAGGTGGGAAAATCGGTCGCTCCCCTCCCCCATGCGCACGCTCCTCTCTCCCTATCTAGACCCACCCACTTATCCCTCCTCTTGTTCCATAAAAGATATTCCACCTAGTGTATTTATAATGTTTCACTACGTATAGATCTAATGTTGCAGTGAACTGAAATACTCCATTGCAACAAAAAAACCCACATATTTTTAAAACTCTCTATTAAGAAAATTTGGTTTATTTTTTATTCCATAAAAATGTTTCACCTAGTGTACTCACAATATTTCACTATGTATAGATCTAATGTTGTAGTGAATGAAACATTCCATTGCAATAAAAAACCCACATATTTTGGAAACCCCCTATTAAGGGTATTAAGGGAATTTGGTTTATTTTTTGTTCCACCGAAAAATATTTCACCTAGTATACTCACAATGTTTCACTATGTATAGATCTAATGTTGCAGTGAACTGAAACATTCTTTCGCTATTTGCTGAAACATTGTTTTTATATAAGGTGAAACAACACCCGATTTAAACGAGCGAAACATTTTCGATCTACTTAATGAAACAATTCCGATATACCTGGTGGAACATCGTGCAACATTTAAAAATAATTCAATAATAAGCTATTTTTTTCGTCGGAATATATCCATGTGTGGTCTTGTTTTGAAGATTTAATTACAACGAATTTAATGGTGCAATCGGATCATGATTTGGATAAGTAATTTACGAGAAAATCAGTTGCACGTAAAGCGGTCGTTGACGTCAGCGTCCGATTTTGCTCCAAACGGATTGGTCGCCCGAGCCGTAGACTCATCCAGATGAAATTTTTATTTTTCCTTTTCCCCTTTAACTTCTGGGATGGGAAAGGTGTTGGATAATAAAACGCCAAATCTATCTCAACTTAACGAGCTATGGCCACGAAACGTGAGGGAAGTACTACTATACGTTATACACATGCAAGTATTTTTTTTGCTATTAGGCTATGCAGGTCTTTTTTACCTTCTTAAAAAATTTACTCTTAAATTACTTATCTGATCTACAATCTAATTATACCATTGTGTTCGTTGCAATTAAATCTTTATAACAAGATCTTACATATATCCGATCTACAATCTAATTACACCATTGTGTTCGTTGCAATTAAATCTTTATAGCAAGATTTTACATGACTATATTATGATGATAAAACATTTATGTTGTAAATTACTTTTATTATATATGTAAGTTACTTTTATCGTATTGTCGGAGGATGGACTCCTCGAGCGGGGGACCGTGAGGCCCCTCCTTTGTTAGTTCGGCTGGAGGCAGCGAGTGAAAGTTGAGGAGTTGGTAGGATTAAGAGAGATCGAGGGGGTCAGGCCCTCGACGAAGATGAGATACTCGATAGTTATCCAGGTTCGGCCGCTAAGAAGCGTAATACCCTATTCATGTATATGATGATTTTTCTGAGCTTACAAAGTCTCTGAATCTCTATTGTACAAGGTAGGGCTAAGTGTTCCACCTCTTGATTGATCGATCTCCCTCCTCACTAGAAATGGACCTCCTTTTATACTCCAAGGGATTCCCACTTGCATTGGGAGTGTTGCCTAGTGAAGAGGGAAAATATTCTCTATATTAAATGTGTGTCTTGTGCCTCAACCTAGAAGTCGTCTATACATCGGCTGCTGTGTGGAGCCTATCAAATCATGGCGGCTGATGTAGGCCGACTCGGGGAGGATCCCCATCATTTACCATTTAATGGAGGTGGACTTGGGGGCGCGCATGTACCGGGAACACGATCTCGGGCATGTCCGGAGCGGTCAAGCCGACTCTGGACAGTCGAGAGGCGCTGGGCCAATCATCATCGCGATGGGATGGGGCATACCTGCCGCACCGCCGCACGCCGCCTGACACACGGCCAAAGCGCGCCTGGCTTTGCCGCCGTCTCATCTATCATTTGACCGGTCACGCACCGGTCATGAGTTAGTCAGGTGCGCAGCACGCCGCATTTAATGTGGCATGGTGCGTCTGCTCTACCCGCACTAAATGTGGTTAGGTGGGTGCTAAGGGGTGTCCACCTAACATCACTTGCATGGCGGCCATGTGGTGACCGCCCCGAGGAGTCTGACCCCTCGGGCTAGGGAGGGGCGGCTGCAACCCATCCACGGGCCCGATCCCCTCGGGGGAAGCGCCACGTGGACATAGGGGGGCGGCTTCTCCCCTTTAAGCATGGTACCCCGGACCCATATCATCGACACATATATATAAATTACTATTAGATTTGATTAAATTACTTCTCACACATTCATAATGCTCTGAGTTGATTGCTTGTATTATTGCTCTTAGTCAATTCCATAATTTGTACTGATTAAATTTAATTTCTAGATAGACCCATATTTTTATCCCTACAACGGATTTACTTCTAATGTCGTAACAACTTACTTTTATTCTATGCTAAGTTATTTTTATGATTTATATTAATTGCTTTCAGTCTTTATTAAATTTACTTTCATAAATGTATTTACGTGAAAATCTTCTCTACACTTTCCTTTTGAATTTACTCCATATAGTTTCTTATTTCAACTCACTCATAATTTAATTACTTCTAATGCTATATAGAGTTACTTCTATTGCATAGCTAAGTTACTTCTACAATTTAAATAAATTACTTTTAAATTAATAAAACGTTTGAAAATATTCAACATGGATCTTGTTTCGTCGTATATTTTGAGTGGAGTACAATGATACAAATAGATAAAAAAAATATGTGATTTAAAAAATATAAGTCATTAAAGAGGTAAAAAAGACAAGCACCATGATATTCAAAATCTGGGATGAAGTGGTCGCTGCTCTAAGCAAACGGGCAACCGATCGCTTTGTAGTCACGTCCGTAAAATTATTAGCAACTAAATACAATATGCATCATTAAATAGTTGCTAAAGATCTTCAGGTCCTTGAGTTATTTCTATATGTACTCACAGTACAATTTGATGCTGCGATCATCTCAATAGTTTATCTAATCATCTGCTGATCATGGAAAAACAAAAGCAGATCAAAAATTGAACATACGGCATATGCGATAGAGTATCTAAGTCACTTGGGCAATATTGAGGTTTTATCGAGAAATTTAACAATATGCCACTCTATAGAGGTGGCTTTAACAAGATGCCACCCAATAGAATGTCTTTATAAAAATACCACTATGCATAGAGGATGCTTTTTAATAAAATGCCACTTTAGGGTGATTAGAGAATCTGTGTGACACGTGCTGCCCGCAAAAAATATCCACGTCTACTCACCAGCGTCCTCTCCCCCCTCCTCCCCACCGCCGCCACCCATGCAAATCCCAAGCTCCTGCCGCATCCGCCACCATAGCAGCAGCCGCTGCCGCCATCTCCAGCCTCCACTTCGCCTCCTCCTCCACGCCGTGCTCCCCTCTTCGCCGTCCCCGCCACTCCTCCCTGCCCTCTTCGCCGTCGTCGTCGCGCTCTCCGAACACCCCCGTGGCGGGCGCCAGGCTGCACGGAGCCGGCGAGCGAGATGTGGCCCACCGCCGCGTCCCTCTGCCTAGGAGCCGACGTCGACGGAAGCGCGACGGACAACGGCAGCCAACTCTGGCGGGCGCGCGGAAGGGCGACGAAAGTGACAGCTGAGCGGGGGAGCAGCTGCAACGACTCCGACGAGCACGCGGAAGGGCGATGAAAGCGGTGGCCAAGCGGGGGAGCAGCGGCGACAACCGCCCGGGCGAGAGAGGCCTCTAATCACCCCTAAAGTGTGATTAAAAGCCTCTAATCACCCAAAAATGTGATTAAAAGCCTCTAATCACCCCAAAGTGGCATTTCATTAAGAAGTATCATCTATGGAGTGACATTTTTATAAGGACATCCTATAAGGTGGCATCCTGTTAAAACCACCCTCATGGGGTGGCATATTGTTAAATTTCTCACCTAGGAGGCGGGTGATTGGTAGGGATGAAGGGCAGCTGCGACCTCCCTCGCAGAGGAGGATGGGGAGGGGCGACCTCGTGACTCGTGTGTCGTGGGAGAGGGAGGGATGGCTGGACTGGCGATGGCGATGGCGCTGGGTCGGGAGAGAGGCGTGTGGCTTCGCCCACCGCGGAGGGAGGTGATGCAGATGCAGTGGACCACGGCTAGACGTTTGGGGAACACAATTTGGTGGCTGTGATGCGAAATTGCAGATAGACAAACACGAAGGATGGCTCGATCGCTCGATTGAAATCTAACGGCCAGGGAAAATAGGGGTGACGTGGAAGCAGGAAAACATAGAGAATTGCTATTAACTGCACTAAGTGGGGATCACTTGTACAATATTATAGGATTTACAGAAAAAGTATACATAATTGTATGTTTTGTGCATAAATTTTATACAAAATCAAACTAATTACTTAAAAAAACATATAAAATGTACGTAGGTGGACTATAAAGCAGGCGTCCAATGAAAAATAATAAGATAATGAGGTCATGCAGCGGTGAAGAAAACAAAAGGTTGATAACTCATGTAGCACCAAAAATAAGAGGACGATAAGGGGTCATGTAGGTGCAAAAGGCAACGGGGTAACAACTCATAAATAAGAGCATGGTTATAGTCGCGCGAATGCGTGAGTTTATAAGCTAGTACTATTGAATAGGGAATGTAAAAATGGCAACAATTTTAGAAAACCAAATGGTGGAAGGGCCACATAAAACTGGGGATTAAACACTTATTATAGTTATAGGGGAACGCCTGAACCCACTCCAATACAGATGTTTGTGTTTTGACAGCATAGAAAACCTTTAGCTAATCTTTCTGAACAGTTGAATGTTGTCATGATTGAAGCCTAATGTCTATACGCAAGCAATTTTCCTTCCATCATTCACCAAATGA